GTTTCAGTGTGTGATCTGGATGAGATCGCTGGTTTCAGTGTGTGATCTGAATGAGATCGCTGGTTTCAGTGTGTGATCTGAGTGAGATCGCTGGTTTCAGTGTGTGATCCGGATGAGCTCGCTGGTTTCAGTGTGTGATCTGGATGAGATCGCTTGTTTCAGTGTGTGATCTTAATAAGATCGCTGGTTTCAGTGTGTTGCCTGGGTGAGATCGCTTGTTTCAGTGTGTAGCCTGGGTGAGATCGCTGGTTTCAGTGTGTGATCTGGGTGAGATCGCTTGTTTCAGTGTGTGGCCTGGTTGAGATGGCTGGTTTCAGTGTGTGATCTAGGTGAGATTGCTGGTTTCAGTGTGTGATCTTGGTGAGATCGCTGGTTTCAGTGTGATCTGGGTGAGATCGCTGGTTTCAGTGTGATCTGGTTGAGATCTCTGGTTTCAGTGTGTGATCTGGATGAGATCGCTGGTTTCACCGGTGATCTGGGTGAGATCGCTTGTTTCAGTGTGTGGCCCGGGTGAGATCGCTGGTTTCAGTGTTTGATCTGGATGAGATCGCTGGTTTCAGTGTGTGATCTGGATGAGATCGCTGGTTTCAGTGTGTGGCCTGGGTGAGATCTCTTGTTTCAGTGTGTGATCTGGATGAGATAGCTGGTTTCAGTGTGTGATCTGGATGAGATCGCTGGTTTCAGTGTGTGGCCTGGGTGAGATCTCTTGTTTCAGTGTGTGATCTGGATGAGATAGCTGGTTTCAGTGTGTGATCTGGATGAGATCGCTGGTTTCAGTGTGTGATCTGGGTGAGATCGCTGGTTTCAGTGTGTGATCTGGGTGAGAACGCTTGTTTCAGTGTGTGATATGGTTGAGATCTCTGGTTTCAGTGTGTGATCTGGATGAGATCGCTGGTTTCAGTGTGTGATCTGGGTGAGATCTCTGGTTTCAGTGTGTGACCTGGGTGTGATGTCTGGTTTCAGTGTATGATCTGGATGAGATCGCTGGTTTCAGTGTGTGATCTAGGTGAGATCGCTTGTTTCAGTGTGTTGCCTGGGTGAGATCGCTGGTTTGAGTGTGTGGCCAGGGTAAGATCACTGATTTCAGTGTGTGATCTGGATGAGATCTCTGGTTTCAGCGTGTGACCTGGGTGGGATCTCTGGTTTCAATGTGGGGCCTGGGTGAGATCGCTTGTTTCAGTGTGTGATCTGGTTGAGATCTCTGTTTTGAGTGTGTGATCTGGATGAGATCGCTTGTTTCAGTGTGTGATCTTAATGAGATCTCTGGTTTCAGTGTGTGACCTGGGTGTGATCTCTGGTTTCAGTGTGTGATCTGGATGAGATCGCTTGTTTCAGTGTGTGATCTAGGTGAGATCGCTTGTTTCAGTGTGTGGCCTGGGTGAGATCGCTGATTTCAGTGTGTGATCTGGGTGAGATCTCTGGTTTCAGTGTGTGATCTGGGTGAGATCTCTTGTTTCAGTGTGTGATCTGGATCAGATCGCTGGTTTCAGTGTGTGATCTGGATCAGATCGCTGGTTTCGGGGTGATCTGGGTGAGATCGCTTGTGTAAGTGTGATCTTGGTGAGATCGCTTGTTTCAGTGTGTGATCTGGTTAAGATCGCTGGTTTCAGTGTGATCTGGGTGAGATCGCTTGTTTCAGTGTGTGAACTGGTTGAGATCTCTGGTTTCAGTGTGTGATCTGGATGAGATCGCTGGTTTCAGTGTGTGATCTGGGTGAGATCGCTTGTTTCAGTTTGTGATCTTGGTGAGATCGCTTGTTTAAGTGTGTGGCCTGGGTGAGATCGCTGGTTTCAGCGTGTGATCTGGATGATATCGCTGGTTTCAGTGTGTGATCTGAATGAGATCGCTGGTTTCAGTGTGTGATCTGAGTGAGATCGGTGGTTTCAGTTGGTGATCCGGATGAGCTCGCTGGTTTCAGTGTGTGATCTGAGTGAGATCGCTGGTTTCAGTGTGTAAACTTGGTAAAGTCTCTGGTTTAAGTGTGTGGCCTGGGTGAGATCTCTGGTTTCAGTGTGTGGCCTGGGTGAGATCTCTGGTTTCAGTTTGTGATTCTGGTGTAAGTGTCACCATGCCCCGGCGTCACGGTTCGTTGCTCATAGCCAATCAGTCTTTGATAGTGACGTGATATTCATCTTCCTGAGGCAAGGGAATTAACTGACTGTGAAAGTCAAGTTTCCACCCTTGCCAAACTCGGCTGGAATTATGGAGTTCTGTATTGGTTGGACTGACTACGCATAGTCCAATCAAAATAGCGAAACGAAATCGACATCCGGTTCGTAAACAACATAGATTTTCAACATGCAGATTTCGGTCGACTGCAGGATTTGCAAAGGATGTGCACCATCAACTGGGCCTTTCATGTTCACTTAACCAGTGACTGTTGTGGCATCCACCTCTGTCTCGTGATGTCACACTCCCGCAGAACATATCTGAATTTTATCAGCCACAGTTTGTTTTGCACTTTCGCCATAGTCTGGCTTTCTATATCACTTTGTGACCCACTGTGGCCGCTTCACGCCATCCACAACTGCTCATCTTCCCGATGCAAAGGGGCTATCTGACTAAAAATGTCCACTTACCATCCTTGCCGAACCAGGCTAGAATTATAGATTTATATTTTGGCCGGACTAACGAGTCTATGCAAAGTCCAATCAAAATCGCGTTACGAAATCGAAAAACCGATTCGTCAACTGTCGTGCAGATTTCAGTCGATTGCAGGATTTGTAAACAGGTATTTTCCAAATCCTTTCATGTTTCTAATCAAGGTGCTCACGTGATTTGATGCACTTCGCGAGAAAAGACCCGTTTTATTACGATATTGATCTTGATCATCGATCAGATCGCCTTGACTGGGCGCTGCCATTTTATTTGAAGCTAATGCAAGTGATAGTGATAGTGCATAGTGATGCGAGGTAGAATATGATTGGTCAATAGGAGGGGCATAGACGGGACATAACTCTCAATAGCCACGGGTTGCGCTACGATCGAGCACGGAAATTTAAGCCTAGTTCGGCAAGGGTGGAAACTGGACTTTTACAGTCAGTTAACTCTCTTGCCTCGGAAAGCTGCGTGATTATGTACATGTGATAGATAAAGGTCGATTGTAAGTTACCCATCACTTGGTGTAACTATGTACGGAAGTACTGGAGTACACGAGGGCCGGCTAACATGTCACTGCTAGTGTTGGTTATAGTCCGAGGCGTGGAGCTCATTTTATTTTATCCTTTCAGTGCAAGCAAACAGAGTACAAATGCAACAAGCATTCCTGGATGAGTCGTATGGTTGGTTGATAAACATAGTTCAAGAAATGATGAACGTCAAGCCTGCTCACAGTATGTTCAATATACAGAGAAAGATGGATACCATTGGTGACCATCTGTGTAACAGGGCATGTCGAACTGTTGTCAGACTGCCCAACAATGTCTTTGAGGCTTATTTTGTTAAACAAGAAAGGCTTTTGATAATTTACACAGACGACAGAAACAACAACATGCACATTCTACTTCCTTTTTTTTACCAGGGGCGGTCGGGTAGCCTAGTGGTTAAAGCGTTCGCTCGTCACGCCGAAGACCCGGGTTCGATTCCCGACAAGGGTATAATGTGTGAAGACCATTTCTGGTGTCCCCCGCCGTGATATTGCTGGAATATTGATACACTCGGCGTAAAAACATACGCACTAACTGTGTTTATGAAGGATATAGGCGTGATGCGAATCCCACTGGGAAAACCATTAATTCTCAGAAAAAGGAGGCAGAACCGTAAATAACGGGGTAGACAGGGCCGACACTTGCTTAATTTGGTCAGAAGATCATCCGATTGATGGTCTGTCTCCGAACCTGTTCTGCCTGTGCCAGTCTATGTGAAATTGGTCAAACAATAGCATGAAGGAGCTATTTTTTAAGAGGACGCCTCATGAAACAGAACCCTAAGATTAAGTGTAGATAAGACTGTTTGTTACAGGCACAACGTTGCATACATTCATTAAATGGGGTCCTATTAATTTAGAACGAATGTGAAGACAAGTTTATTTCGATGGCACAGTCCTAAAACAATTAAAACTCATAAACCCTCCAAAGACGTCGGTCAAGGAATCATGTCTGCGTGACAACAGTCCTGCAGTGACTGCCTGGCAGCACGCTCCTAATACGTCCTTGCTTGTTGTCATGTTTCAGTAGGCATGATACCCTTGTACCAATCCGCACCACTACAACAACGCTTGTTCTCCAGCTATTTGGAGAGCGGAAGATCGGTGGGTCAATGCTCAGCCCCGTTATACATAAAGACGTTAAACACGTACGTGATCACGCAGGTACACGCACGCACGCAGACATATTCACACACACGAAAACACACACACGTGCATGCACGTCGCTATATAAGCGCAGTAATCTTCAACGCGTTTAACCCTGTGTCACCTCACCTCTAGCGCCGATGGTAGCCAAGCTATTTTCCAAGCGGTTTTATCACATTGTCTTGCTATTTGCCTCTCTAAACCTCCCAAGTCTATCCATATGCCCATACATTCACAAATTCTACCCCTACACATCAATAATTGCATACAGGGGTTCGTTTTCAACATGTAAAATGTGACATACGCATTGCAGCATGGGCGCGGCCATGTTAAAAGACCGGGCAAAATACCATCTCTGAATTCTGATTGGTCAATTTTCGCCTGTCGCCATAGTGTTTAATACAACAAAAATAGTAATTAAAATGCCGATATGACAACTTTACATCCTTCACCATGTATGTTGAAGCACTTTTAACAATTCCTGGCCTCGGCCTATTGCCTACCTGTGTCCCCTCACCCCGAACTTCAGAAAAACTTCTGAATCGTACTTGACCATCGATTACACACACAGGACGGGCTCAGTTCGCATGGTTGTCGCGGGTTGTTTTGTCTAATCAATGGGACTATTCAAAGCATGTTGATAACGCATGCCTGACTCAGACCCATGCGGAAAGAGATTAGCGATGTATCAGGTGTACTGTTATACTTTTACATTATATACATATGCCAGTGTGTCTACTGCCTCAAATCATAGCACCACACGCCGGTGTTAAACATTCTAAAACTCAGACCAGAAAAGAAGTGGAATCTTATCTTTTACCTTATCTTTCACCTAACGAGATCGCCTTGTCACTGACGGTACCCTAGTACAGATTGCACAAGAGTTGGACACAATGCATTAGACTATAACTTCCACTGACTGTAAGCTGTAAAGGTGACAAGATGACTGGCTTCTGTGGGGAAACTGTGCTATTGGTAAGTTATCTGTGTGTAAGTCAGGATAAGATATATGGATGAATAACTTCTTTATAACAATGGGGAGCGACGTTTCGGTGTAGGTTCTAACACCGTTATCAAGCATGTTCATCCATATATCTTATCCTTACTTCGTACTCCAACTTATAAATGCCAAAGAAGTTAATCTGTGTGTATTTAATCACTTTGAGTTAAGTATGGTTTTACGCCGCTTTTAGTAATATTCCAGCAATATCACGGCGGGGGACATCAGAAAAGGGCTACACACATTGTACCCATGTCGGGAATCGAACCCGGGTCTTCGGCGTGACGAGCGAACGCTTTAACCACTAGGCTACCCGACCGCCCCCCCACATTACCAAGGAGAAATGGCTTCACAAATTTTGTGATCACAGGACGGTTTAGGTGAATTCCTTAACAATAAATATAACATGATTACAGAACAAAGACTGCATATAATTTGATTTTAATAGTTTCTTTACAACATGTACGGTTATATATCATTAATATGTATCATAACTTGATTTCGGTAAATGTATTTTGTGGTGGTGCTAGCTTACTACAAATTATTTATGCACACGGATAATGTTGACATGTCATACAAGTTGTAATCTCTACATACAAATCACACTGGTATTTGGGTGATGGAGCTAACATTTATAGAAAGATGGTCGGCTATGCTATCTTATCAACGCTTATACTTACTTTGTTGACCTGAACTATTTTCATTTTTATTTCTATTATGTCAGTGTCCTCAGCATCTGTGTGGTGATCAGCACATGGTATATAACCCGATGTTTATTTATCAATTGTTACGTTTTTGGTTTTATATACTTTTCAATCAGCTGTGTTCATTTGATTCTGTTCTGTTTTTGCTTATCGCGAATGTGTGGAGGACAACCCGTGTCATGTTCTCATGCCGTGATGCATGCTTATCGAGCCGTCCACAACGAAGAACAGCTGGAAAGGTTAAAATGGTAGTCAAAACGGACACAAAAGAGTCAAAATGGCCACAAACCAATAGTCAAAACGGACACAAACGAGTCAAAATGGCCACAACCCCATAGTCAAAACGGACACAAAAGAGTCAAATGGCCACAAACCAATAGTCAAAACGGACACAAAAGAGTCAAAATGGCCACAAACCAATAGTCAAGACGGACACAAAAGAGTCAAAATGGCCACAACCCCATAGTCAAAACGGACACAAAAGAGTTAAAATGGCCATAAACCAATAGTCAAAACGGACACAAACGAGTCAAAATGGCCACAAACCAATAGTCAAAACGGACACAAAAGAGTCAAAATGGCCACAACCCCATAGTCAAAACGGACACAAAAAAAGTCAAAATGGCCACAACCCTTAGTCAAAACGGACACATAAATAAGTAAATATGGCCACGACAAAAAAATGAATGTGAGTAGGATGTATACATGTTAGATGTTGTTACTCATGACACATGAATATACAATGTGAGCAGGATGTATACATGTTAGATGTTGTTACTCATGACACATGAATATACAATGTGAGCAGGATGTATACATGTTAGATGTTGTTACTCATGACACATGAATATACAATGTGAGCAGGATGTATACATGTTAGATGTTGTTACTCATGACACATGAATATACAATGTGAGCAGGATGTATACATGTTAGATGTTGTTACTCATGACACATGAATATACAATGTGAGCAGGATGTGTTATTCCAATGTATTATCTTCCAGTAGAGTTCACGTGTTGTTGTTTCTACCAATCCTATCAAGTTATTTTGATATCTGTACTGACCAGTGTACCAATCTGTTGTGAAAACATGAATAAACTTTTATCCTAATAATGAAACCTTTCGTGGCCTGGAGATTATAAAGGGAGGCGACATAACACCATCGGAGCTGCTTAATATATGCGCTTCTAATCATGGACCATGAATAGGGTGAATATATAGATGCGTATATCTGGTACTGACAAAAAACACACGTTGCGGGTAACACTAACAATGTCATCCTACACCAACGGCACAAGGTGTTCACAACAAACTTGAGTACGTGTCCTGACAGAGCTTACACTCGTCACACTGACGATCCCTCAAGCATGTATAATATATCGCGGGGCAATAGTTCATGATCACAAATAAATCCTAATACAATCGTCGAGTATAACCTTCCTTCACTACAGTAGCACAGTGCCCTGTATTAGAGTACCTGTTTTATATAAGCGGGATTGACATAGGCCCCCAGCAACCAGTGCTACCCCACTTTAATGAAACCATGTAAAAACACAACAGTTTAGGATTTTACTGTCTGTTTCTAGCTGTAACACAAATAGTGAGTGCCGATTCTTTAGATGGAATTATATAATCGTCAAATGTAACTTTTTACACAAACGGAAATATTAGCATACGCACGTATTTCATAATTGATACTGAACACAAAATATTATTTGACACAGGGGTGGTCAAGTCGTCTAAGGCGCCGCAATTCGCTGTGCAGAGTTGCGTCCCTTCGGAAACGTAGGATTGTGGGTTCGCATCCCGGTTCGCCCCGATTATGTTTCTTGGTTTGTCAGCACCATACCCGGCGCTCGTGGGTTTCACCGAAGTGGTAAACGTCTGAGACCTGCACCACTTCGGGCTTTCCTCCCACATTAAGCTGACACGCCGTGATATAACTGGAATATTGTTAAAAGCGGCGTTAAACCCAACTCACTCATCAGTTGCGGATGTTGTAGCTTATACTGCTCATTACTGCTATGGGACAATGGTACAATGAACAATGGAGATCCCGGTCCTAATATGAATGTCAGAAGGAGCATATCGTGGCTGTTACCATGAGCTATGAAAGCAAAAGCTATGTGAATATGTTACTGTCAGTTTGAGTTTATTCTATGTTGAGATTTTGTTTGTTTGTTGAAAGTTGTTGTTTTTTTTGTGTTTTTTTGTGATCAGAGAATCGTGTCAGTATTATTAGAGAAGCCTCATTGAATTTTTGTTCTCTGAAGGGTGTGTTTATTGTTTCTCTTGTGGAGCAGTTATGTGTGACTTTATTTTCAAGAATAATTGAATCGAGTCACGTTAATGTTTTATTCATTGTTTTCGGGACCAGAAACAAATTCAACAACCTCTGCAATGAAGCCATGTTAAACTTAATCATATGCATGTTTGTTGTAATTCAGGAAATCATTTGACATTCTGCACTTTAGTCCGTGACCTGTTACAGTGTCAAGTCTTTTGCAGGCCCTTTCAGTTGCAAACACGAGGGTTAGTGATTCCAGTGACGTTCAGGAGCCCCTACAGCTCGCATGGTTGCTCGACAACTGGTCCCTCTGAAGTCAGCCAGTTTGGGTTAAATACGTTGACATTCACACATGTGTTGATCTACAGTAACAGCAAGTGTTGAGACAAAGTTAACATCTACATCTATTCTCTTGACAAACCTACTCTACCTCCCCGTGAATCTACCAAAAGTATTGTCAACAGTCATTCATGCACTGCTGGTCTGAAGTTGAAATGCACCTGGTCAGCTGTAAGCGTCCCTTTAATAGTGTAGGGTTTCAGAAGTCACAGACGTATGGGATAGGTTGGTTCACCAATGAATACAACAGGCATTTCAATCTCAAATTCCCACAATACTTACTTGAGCGTCCCAATCAGGGGACTGTGGTAAGAAGTTTCCAGCTTCGACCTCACGTTTGAGACTGCTGCCACTTCTCTTTAGTCGTTACCTTCTGGAAAATGGACAACTGTGGGAAATAGTTGCGAGCAAATAACATCACAAACCTCATAGATTATCAAGACAACTCTAGATTTGTGAATGCCAAATAAATTACCAAAGGTAAGATAATCCGTGGTCACCGCCTGGTTGTATTTGCTAATTGCAACACCATATGCTGTTTTAGTAGGGCTTGGAGTTGCTCTGTAGGAATGAGTTTAGCTCATGACACAGGTGATCAAACATCGCTCTTAATATTCTAAAGTTTTCCATCCAATGAGTCTCATCAAAATGATGTTCATGTTTGAATATATCTCTGTCTACGGCGCGACTGGTAAATTTTAATGAATTGCTTTAAAATACAATATCCATGTAAACGCAAACTTATTGCGTCCATTGACCCCTGGGGCAAGGTAGTGCATGTGAAATAGGCTTAAGAGTGTGTTTGACGCCGCTTGTAGCATTAGTCGGGCCACAGCATGGCAGAGAAACTGGCTGCACTCATACTTCCCATGGGGGAACTATGCTGGGGGTCTTTCGCGTGAAGAGCAAACAATGGATGTAGATGCCTGATGATCTCAGTTCTAAATTTAGTTCTCTTGATATCCGTACTAATTGTATCTTCTGATTATGTTTCTAGGTTTGTCAGCACCATACCCATGAACGTGGATTTCACAAAAATGATAAACGTCCAACATCACACCTTGATATAACTGAAAAACTTTGGATATAATAACTCGCGAAATTACAAGAGTGCACAGTGATGTCATCCTTGCACGTTGTCTCGTTTTCCCTTAACTGAACAAAACATCTTAAGAATTTAGTTTTCGTTTCACACATAGATGAACAATATTATCCTCAAATGAAATATTGAATTAATAATCGCACAGTAATCCCGACAGAGGGATTACACCAAGGTCCCAATTTGCACGAACATTTAGCCTTCAGTATCCCCTTCTTGTTGCTGACCCCAAATCAAACTACCCCATCTCATCATTGATATACGATTGGCTGTGTATGTCAAATGTATGGATAACAACTATATATTTTACATGACGAGTTCCTATGCTTCTGGCCTCATCTTGTTGGACACTGTCACTTTATCAAACAGGGCTATGCCTTCCATATTTTTTAAGCTATCAATATCACACGTTAAAACATGAAACTATTCCAGGATGATACTATGGTTTTGTTGTTGAACAACACGTGGCCAGAGTTCTTCCTATCCTTCCATGCCACGGTGCTGGTGTAAGTGCCTTGTGGCTGGCTGTTGCTAACTTTCCAGGACTCTTTTCTCCATCTCCACATACAGCATTCCTCCCCCAATAATATTTTCTGTATTCCAGGACGTGGATCTGTTGTTGAACAACACGTGGCCAGAGTTCTCACCATGCTTCCATCACACAGTGCTGGTGTGGGTGCCGTGTGGCTGGCTGTGGCTGACTCTCCCGGCCTTCCTCAGGCACATCCTGTCACTCCAACAACACCTGCAGCTTACAAAACTTACAATAGCAAAACTAGTGAGTAGTCTTTGAAAGATTAGGCTCTGGTCATTTATTATAGAGGGGTGGGGATGGGGTGGGGGGTGGGGGCGGTGGCATTAAGGGGAGAAGGGGTCATGTAAAAGAACACAGTGAAAGAGGGATGTCGCCAAAATGGTTAGGGGTCGGGGTAGAGGTGGCGAGAAAAATTGTTGCTTAAAAGGGGGGTTGGGGGATGGGGGGTGAGCGAGGGGTGTGGGATGTGGGATGTTGGCATATTATGAAGACCAAAGAAAAACACCACATACACCCTAAAGTAAATGACCAGTCCCTCCTTTAATACTTTAGATGTGCAAAGTTGATAACTTCAAGAACGAGAAAAGACACTTAGTTATCACAATTGTTATTATCGTTTGGCAAGGTACTGTTGTAACTCAGAAAACGCCTCTATATAATACAGGTACTTATTGCTGGGATGCTGACATGCGTCATCGGTGACGTCATCAGAGTGATGACGGGAGAAACAGGACTTCACAACATCTCTACCTCCTTCTACACAGCTGATGTGTTAAAGCTAGCAACATATGTAAGGATGGGTGTAGATGCCATCTCAATTCCAAATTTAGTTCTCTTGATATCCATACAAAAATGTTTCATCTGATTATGCTTCTAGGTTTGTCAGCACCATACCCATAAACGTGAATTACACAAAAAATGATAAACGTCTAACATCACACCTTAATATAACTGAAACACTTTTGATATAAAATTGCAAGAGTGCACAGTGAGTGTTCAAGGATGTCATCCTTGCACGTTGTCTCGTTTCCCTTATCTGAACAAAACTTCTTAAGAATTTAGATTTCGTTTTATACAAAGATGAACAACATTATCCTCAAATGAAACATTGAAGTAGTAATCGCACAGTAATCACGACAGAGAGATTACACCAAGGTCCCAATTTGCACGAACATAGCCTAAACATTTAGCCTTCAGGATCCCCCTCCTGTTGCTGACAGTGAGTATGATGAAGCAGTACAGTAAGATGTTGCTGATTGTAACATACATTATCTTGATCTACATTTATGGTATGGATAATTTTAGTAACCCTTGTCATGTCTGTCCACTAGATTCTCAGCATCACATTGACAGTGTTGTCAAGACGTCGAGGTCTCTCAAGTTCATGTCCTCTCTACATCTTCTGGCTGCTGCATATCTTGTGTGACGTCATCCCATTCTACACACTCATTATACAATGGGTATGTGTGTGATATGTTGTCTGTTCCTGCAGGCATCTGCAAGCCCTGGGTGACCTTGTTGTCCAAATTAGGCCTTTGATGACTTCTTTCTAACATTAACAATAAATTTTTAAATAATTTTCTCTCTGCTCTGTTCCGAACAGATTCCTCTGCAATCGCTCAATGGTAAGGGGGGGGGGGGGGGGGGGGGGGGGTAATCTGCCTGTGAGATAGCTCAAGTGTAAGGGGAGGTAATCTCGTCCTGTGAGATAGCTTAATCGTAAATTAAGGTATTTTTGACTTGTTGGACTTTTTTTAGATATGCAGACAATAAACAATAAAATATCATAAAACAATTTCCTCTGTTCTGTTCCGAACAGATTCATTGCTTCTTCTGCGATAACTCAATGTTAAGGTGAGGTAGTCCCCACCTGCTCAATTGGAAGGGGTGTGATTTCTGCTTGTTAGATAGCTCAATGGTAAAGGGAGGTAATCTCCTCCTGTGAGCTATCTCTATGGTAAGGAGAGGTAATCTCTTCCTGCGAGATAGCTCAATGGTAAAGTGGGGTAATCTCTTCCTGTGAGATAACTCTATGGCAAGGGAGGTAATTTCCACCTGTGAGATAGCTCAATGGTAAAGGGAGGTAATCTCTTCCTGTGAGATAGCTCTATGGCAAGGGGAGGTAATCTCTTCCTGCGAGATAGCTCAATGGTAAAGTGAGGTAATCTCTTCCTGAGAGATAGCTCAACTAGCTCCTCACAGCGACAGCCCGTTCGCGGAGCTCTCTATACTATCCCTGCCACCAGTGAAAGCTCCCCACTTAAATGCTAAAATCCAGGGGAAATATGGTCAGTCGTTAACCTTTTCAAAATGAATTATGATCGAATTCCCAAAGACATAAAACAGTGTAAACGTTTCTGCATTTGGAGTTAGAGGGCAAATTTCAAGATTCTTGTACTTGCCGCGCCTACACTGGTGGCAGCGATGTTTCAGAGAGTGTAACGAAGGTGTCACGCACTGGGATAGCTCATTGGTGAGGGAAGGTAGTGTCTTCCTATGAGATAGCTCATTAATAAAAAGTGAGGTAATCGATACCTGTGAGATTGCTCAATGGTAAAGGGAGGTAATCTACACTTGTTAGATAGCTCAATAGTAAGGGGAGGTAAATGCTTCCTGTTAGGTCAATGGTAAAGGGAGGTAATCTTCACTTGTTAGATAGCTCATTAGTAAGGGGAGGTAAATGCTTCCTGTAAGAGAGCTCAATGGTAAGGGGAGGTTATATCTTCCTGTGAGATAGCTCAATGGTAAGTGGAGGTAATATCTTCCTGTGAGATAGCTCAATGGTAAGTGGAGGTAATATCTTCCTGTGAGATAGCTCAATGGTAAGGGGAGGTAATATCTTCCTGTGAGATAGCTCAATGGTAAGTGGAGGTAATATCTTCCTGTGAGATAGCTCAGTGGTAAGGGGAGGTAATATCTTCCTGTGAGATAGCTCAATGGTAAGGGGAGGTAATATCTTCCTGTGAGATAGCTCAGTCGTAAGTGGAGGTAATATCTTCCTGTGAGATAGCTCAATGGTAAGAGGAGGTAATATCTTCCTGTGAGATAGCTCATTGGTAAAGGGAGGTAATTTCTACTTGTCAGATAGCTCAGTCGTAAGTGGAGGTAATATCTTCCTGTGAGATAGCTCAATGGTAAGGGGAGGTTATATCTTCCTGTGAGATAGCTCAGTGGTAAGGGGAGGTAATATCTTCCTGTTAGATAGCTCAATGGTAAGGGGAGGTAATATCTTCCTGTGAGATAGCTCAATGGTAAGGGGGGTAATATCTTCCTGTGAGATAGCTCAATGGTTAGGGGAGGTTATATCTTCCTGTGAGATAGCTCATTGGTAAAGGGAGGCAATTTCTACTTGTAAGATAGCTCAATGGTAAGGGAAGGTAATCTCTTCCTGTGAGATAGCTCAGTGGCAAGGGGAGGTAATCGCCACATGGACCAGATGGGGCTATTTATCCTTGCGATTTAGATCAGATTACTGACAACAATCTTCAAGTGACTCACTCACTCACTCACTGACTCCATTTGTCATGCAGCAGGAGAGCAGTACAGTGGAGATGTGCCTCTTCTACCTCCACTACGGCTTCCTGCTCCTCCAGATTATCCTATGTTCCTTCGCTGACAACACCGACCACATAGGCGACGACACTGTTTGTAAACGGGTGAGTGGCTGTTGCTTTGCCACTGTATGACATGTGCACCACACTTGTATTAGTGGCCAAGTTAGCCCGTGTGTGTCCTGCATGTGATCAGTTTAGGCCTTAAAGATACATGTATTTTAACCTTTGCAATTTTTAGACACATCAGAACCTCAAATCTTTGCTTTCCGGTCCGTGAATATACTTGCTATGACATGTGCAAAGATGTAATGTAGGATAAAAAATTGTCAAAACCCTTTTCATATCCATTAGAAATCTGCTAAAAGCCATGAACACGTCTCTATGAATCACTATCAAATAGTGTTTGCGAAAAGGTAAGCGTATCCTGCCCCACCGTAGGCACCTGTCACAAACAATTGCAAAGGCAAGTCAATTGTTCACCTGAAAAAACCGGGAACATATGGTCCCTTAAAAAGTTTCAGTCAAGTTGCTCTAAAGATAGTATTTGCAAGGATTAAATTACATAGATCAACCATGACATTATCAAACTCAACCATGACATTATATAACTTAACCATGACATTATAAGCCGAGGAATAAAGAAAACTATACCGCTAAACCTCTACCATGTCAAGCATGGAAGAGGGCACGTGGTTGCGAATTCATTTCTTTCTACTGTCTGCCTTAATCAAATTTATTTTTACACAAAAATTACCCAAGAACAGGTTAATTTTAACAAATTGCCGCTGGAATGAGTGATGGTTCAATATACATCATCAAATTTGGAAAACATTTCTTTCAATTTTCAATTGCATAAAGTTTTTGTATACTTTCTTGTGCCATCAGTTTCCATATTTACATTATGCTATTCATATCCACATGACATTTTATATATTTATATGATACTATCCATATCCAGAGGACATTATTCATTTATACCATGGCAGTATCCATATCCTAATGACATTATACATTAATATCATGACAGTATCTATATAAAGACGACATTATTCCTTTATACAATTGCAGTATTCATATCCATATGATATCAAACATTTTTTACCCTCACAGTATCTATATCCAGATGACATTCTTAATACCATGAAAGTATCCATATCCACATGACATTTTACATTTATTCCATGACAGTATCCATATCGACATGATAGTATACATTAATACCATGACAGTATCCATATCCTCATTACATTATACATTTATACCATACCATGACAATTGAAATGTATACCATGACAATATACATATAAACCATGACAAGATATGTTTATACCATGACAATATATATTTAGTTTTCCCGCTATATAAGATATATTTTGATCATGATCCTTCATTGTTAAATGTTAAAAGTTAAATGTAAAGGCGTAAGATATTTGTCCATTGTCACCTTGGTATTGTGACCTCATAGTTCTCCTAAATGTTATGACGTCACGTAACTATATGTTACTACTTCATGTCCGTTATTCAGTTATGGCCTGATGAGACTCGTACGTGGTACGAGTTGAAATCGCTAGCCAATTAAAACTGTGTTCAATCTTACTCCACTTATTTAATAATATAGGGGGGCATTATTCCTTCATACCATGACAGTATCCATATCCACATGACATTATTCCTTAATATCATGACAGTATCTATATAAAGATGACATTATTCCTTTATACCATGTAAGTATCTATATCCACATGACATTATTCCTTCATATCATGACAGTATCAATAGCCACATGCCATTATTCTTTTATATTATGACAGCATCTATATCCAGATGACAGCATCTATATCCAGATGACATGCCTTTATACCATGACAGTATCAATATTCAGATGACATTATTCCTTTTTTACCATGACAGCATCCATATCAACATAACATTATACATATATATCAAGAGAGTATGCGTATTTACAATGGCAATCTACACATCTACCATGACACTATACACATCTACCATGACAATATACAAATCTACCATGACGATATATATATATATATATATATATATATATATATATATATATATATATATATATATATATATATATATATATATATATATATATACCATGACAATATACATATATATCGTGACAATATACAGATATACCATGATAAAATAAAAATATACATGTATATATGATAGAATACTTACATACCAGGACAATATCTATATCTACCATGAAAATATAAGTATATACCATGACAATATATATAAACCTATATCACCCAATGTCCCTTACCTCTGTCTCACTGTCTGCAGTGTATCACATACCATTATCAAACAGAACCATGTTTTCAGATTCCTTGTCCTGCTCTAAAGGTGTCCTTCTTAAACCGACTCACCTTCTCCTGGACCTTCAGGTGCGTCCGCCCAATACAAGAATCACCTCACCTGTGTAGTCAGCTCCTTCCCTTCAGGAATTTCTATGTATATAACGTTCTCTGTCAGAACCCGTTTCACAGAAGTCAGTTCACCTGATGTACACAACAGCCAGCGAGTTTGTTTGTTTGTTCGTTTGTTTGTTTGATTTAACGCCGCACTCAGCAACATTCCAGCTATATGACGGCGGTCTGTAGATAATCGAGTCTGGACCAGACAATCCAGTGTCTGAAATCATGAGCATCGATCTACGCAATTGGGATAAGATGACATGCATCAACCAAGTCAGCGAGCCTGACCCCCCGATCTCCTTAGTCTTACGAAAATCATTGTCGCCTTTTTACAGTAAGCATGGGTTGCTGAAGACCTATTCTAACCAGGATCTTCACGGGTACTGCGAGTTGGTAAATTACCTGAAGTGCTTGTACAGTTTAGAAATGTTATATAATGGACTGAACTGGTCAGTAAATTGTCTGACATGCTTGTACTGTGTAGAAAGGTTATAAAATGGACTCCCTTGGTCAGTAAATAACCTGTCATGCTTGTGCTGTGTAGAAATGTTATGTAATGCACTCCCCTAGTCAGTAAATTGTCTGACATGCTTGACCTGTGTAGAAATGTTATGAAATGGACTCCCTTGGTCAGTAAATTACCTGTCATGCTTGTGCTGTGTAGAAATGTTATGTAATGCACTCCCCTAGTCAGTAAATTGTCTTACATGCTTGACCTGTGTAGAAATGTTATGAAACGGACTCCCTTGGTCAGTATATTACTGTTAAGGGAAGCTGTGGCTTTGAGAAAGTAAATTGTCTGACTTTGGTCTTCCAGATATGATGTGGGGATCACACCAATGTTACAAAGTGTTAGTAATATGTTATATGCTGAGGTTGTGGATTTTAGTTCTTCGATACAATAACTGTAAGCAATACTTGTTGCAGTACACTGTGGAAAGGTTGGAAAAGACCTCTACAAAATGATGATGTATACGACCTACCTCCATTTCTGAAAAGTGAAGCCACAGTACCTCCTTTCCTGGAGAGCTGGCAGCGGGAGCGACAGAGAGCTGCAAGGTACCCCGGCATGTCTCTAATCTGAGTTTTTACCTAGAGTTGGAAGGGAGGCCCACATCCATTTTTGTCTGACTTCTAACAGAGAGATGGAAGGTACTCAGGCATATATCTGTGTCGGTTTTCTGAGGGAGAGCTGTAAGGTAGGCCCGTTTATATCTTTTTCTGAATTCTAACATTGAGCTGAAAGGTAGGTGTTTGTATTCTGAGCGAGACTGTATTCTGTCTCTTGGTCTGAGTTCGAAGTGCCAAACTCAGTGTGAAGTCTAACACAGTGCTGCCTTGCATGTCCACATAAAAGTCAGTGTGATGTTCCCCCCTTCCTTTCCGGCTTATACTAATACCGGAATAGATTCAGCAAATTTGGGGAGTAAAGTCTCTGAGACTTGACATAAACTGAATGTTATATAAATAAACTTATTTGTCAGCATGATACAAACTTCAGATAACCCGAGGGTACATTTGTTAAACTCTGTTTGCAGATTGAACAATGAATTGTCAAGATATCTTCCTCGGGAAAGGCAGAATCTGCTTGAGTTTTCCGAAGACATTGACCAATCACAAGGGAGAAAGAAAACTCTACCTGATGTGATAATCAAAGAGGGCGCACAAGCAGGAAAACCACAGACATGCGCCCACAAGCCATCGCTACTACGCACATTGTTCCGGACGTCTGGGTTTAAATTGATGAAGTCACATTTGTTCAGGATCGTGTCTGAGCTGGTCCTGGTTCTTAACCCTTACTTGTTGAAGTAGGTGATCACATATGATAAAAATCATTTGACCATATGTCACAACACCAGTTAATAAATCTGTTCTGATAACCACGTGTGACAAGTACGACAGAGATGATGATCTTAACATTGCAAAATGGAACTTCTACTATCATACATTACCAGAGTATGATGGCACACACCTTTGACATGTAAAATATTATCACTATAATCATTTTCTTATATCTTCATGTCACTATTACCAATCAATAATGTATCGATTCCTAAAGCTACAATATGATCAAAGCCTTATGGATGTAATCAGTGATAAGGAATACGAACCTCCCTGAAACAGTGTGTGCTTTGCAATAAATATGGAGTAAGCTTCCGTGAAACCTTGCCCTTTACCCTATACTGATAAATATAAGCGACAAAAACCCTTTCAATATTCATAAGTAATCTATGACAAAAGCTTAAGACAGGACTGACAAAGAAGATCAGCTGTATTTTATTCTTGTGATGCAAGCAAGTGGAGTTCTATTACCTCTGCCGTAGTAAATGACACCCAAAGATCAGCTGAATCATTTCTCAAATGTGCTTTTGATAACTTGCAGGCGATTAATGTACTACATCGAAAACAAGGAGTCGGAACCTGAGTGGCAAGGATATGGTATCGTCATTGGATTTGTATTTGTCAGTGTGATGCTGTCAATGCTGCAGACAAGGAGCTTTTTCACTGCCGAGAACGTTGCGCTGGGTGTGAGGACTGCCCTTATGTCAGCAGTCTACAAGAAGGTAGGCTGAGGCTTTGAGAAAGAAAAATATCTGGACGATGGAAAAGCTTTTGCTGTGTAATATCTCTAGAGCAGTGTCTAGGAGATTATTAAGCTGTTGCTAAGATGTATCTCAATATCATTATCTTGACGATGCCGAGGCTTTTGCTAAGTAATATCTCAATATCATTGTCTTGATGATGATGAAGCTGTTGCTAGTCATTGTCAGGAAAAAGGAGAAGCTTTTGCTGAGTAATATCCTGACGTCATTGTCTACAAGATTGAGACGCTTTTGCTTAGTAATATCCTTGCGTCATTATCAAGAAGATGGAGAAGCTTTTGCTAAGTTATATCCCAACTTCATTGTCTAGAAGATAGAGTGGCTTTTGCTAAGTAATATCCTTGCATCATTGTCTAGAAGATGGAGAAGCTTTTACTAAGAAATATCCTAACTTCATTGTCTAGAAGATGGAGAAGCTTTTGCTAAGTAATATCCTGACGTCATTGTCTACAAGATGGAGAAGCTTTTACTTGATAATATCCTGACGTCGTTGTCTAGAAGATGGAGAAGCTTTTGCTAAGTAATATCCTTGCATCATTGTCTAGAAGATGGAGAAGCTTTTGTGAGGTAATATACTAACGTCATTGTCTGGAAAAAGGAGAAGCTATTGCTTAGTAATATCCTAATGTCATTGTCTGGAAGGTGGAGAAGCTTCAGCTAATTAATATCGTAACGTCATTGTCTAGCAGATGTAGAAGCTTTTGCTAAGTAATATCCTAACGCCATTGTCTAGACAAGGAAAGCTTTTGCTAAGTAATATCCTAACGTCATTGTCTAAAAGATAGAGAAGCTTTTGCTGAGTAATATCCTAACGCCATTGTCTAGAAGAAGGAGAAGGTTTTGCTGAGAAATATCTTTACGTCATTGTCTAGTAGATGTAGAAGCTTTTGCTAAATAATATCCTTACATCATTGTCTAGAAGATGGAGAAGGTTTTGCCAAGTAATATCCTAACATAATTGTCTAGAAGATGGAGAAGCTTTTGCAAAAATAATATCCTTGCATCATTGTCTAGAAGATGGAGAAGCTTTTGCTGAGTAATATCCTAACGTCATTGTCTGGAAAAAGGAGAAGCTATTGCTTAGTAATATCCTAACGTCATTGTGTAGAAGATGGAGAAGCTTTTGCTAGTAATATTTTACGCAATTGTCTAGAAGAAGGAGAAGCTTTTACTAAGAAATATCCTTACGTCATTGTCTAGAAGATGGAGAAGATTTTGCTAAGTAATATGCGAACGTCGTTGTTAAGCCAATGATGAAGCTGTTGCAAAGCAATATCTCAAAACCATTGTCTAGAAGATTGTGAAGGTGTTGCAAAGCAATACCCCACTAGCATTGTCTAGAAGATGCATAGATAAGCTTTTGCTTGATAATATCCCAATGTTAGGCATAGGTGCAAGGACATTGGTACAATTACATGTGAAATTTGCTTCTTGCTAATTGACTAGTCCTTGCTAATTGTGTTCATTGTATCTGAAGCAATGTGACACCACATAAAGGTATTGTCACAAGTAACAAGATTACATCCATTGTTCATGCGCTACAAACAATTTAATATAATTTCAAAATGAATTTGTTACACAAATTTAGGCAATTCTGATTGGTCGAGAGCATGTGTGAACTTGCATTTATATTCAATAAATGCACAAAAACTTGCATTTATACATCATGAATGGACGGTTTCCCGGAAGTGACAGAACTACTTTCCAAATTACGTCGACCTTGTTCCCGTCCATAAATAGCTTGATGTCGGGAATTCCCTTCCGGAACGTCGATCAGTTTATCAAGCGACTCGTATTAGATCCGTTTAATAGTTGTTTTTCATCGAACGTCGAAGTAGAACAGTCAAAAATTGATAAATTGTCATTACGTCATGCGTGACATACGTAGGCATACTTGCTCACCAAGGTAGCTCAAACTCCCTTTTCTCTTCAAACATCAGTTTTCCCGACACTGGACGTCGAGTGCCCGCCGCCAATATTTCCAAATCCAGACACTTTAGGCATACATGTCCCCAGCAGCCTCTCTCCAACAAAAAAATCAAATTGCAGGCTTCTCAATCACTTTATGCTTCTAATGGCATTTTGACCAATTCAAAGTTTGAAAACATTACTGTCAGTTTTCAGTTTACACGAACCACGCTTGAAATTACGACGTTAGCTGCTGCCGCAATGCTCGCTGTCAATGCCACGCTGGTATGACGTCATTAATATAGTCCCTTCCTTGAAGTTTTTCTCGCTCAGGTATAACATCGATGAAAGAAAAACATTTTCACAAACGATATAGGATATGGATATCCATTCAATAAAACTGTTATATCTTGCAAAAACGCTTGTTTGTTATTTGTATGACGTAGTGATGAGGTCGTTTCATGTATTCTTGCGCGTGTTGCGATGTTCAGTGAAATTATCAATTTTGTAATTATAAGAATTTTTTATATATTTTTTGTGCATGCATAAAAGGGTAACAAATTGCCACACAATTTGCCCTGTATATCATTACGTAATATATAAATAAAGACAACTGGTGCAATTGCATAATCTTAGAGTGATTTAACAAATCAGTTAGACGCTGGTATGGACATGGTAATATTCTTGAAGACACATAGTAAAACCTATATATTTTATCGCCAGGCCCTGACTATGAATAACGAGTCTCGGAAGAAGTACACAACTGGGGAGATCGTGAACTTGATGTCTGTGGACGTTCAGAGGGTGGAGTCGGCCGTCATGCAGATGTGGATTGTGTGGTCAGCTCCAATCATCTTCATCATCTGCTTCTACCAGCTGTACCAGGTGCTGGGGCTCGCCTTCCTCGCTGGGGTGGTCATCATGGTGGTGTTGTTCCCCTTCCAGTACAAACTCTCCATGTACCACCGAGACCTGTTCAACCACCAGCTCAAACACAAGGATGCCAGGTTGAAGAACATGGGCGAGCTCCTGAATGGAATCAAGGTAAGCAGTGCATTATGAGGGGTAATTGTTTAATGGGCATTTATGTTTTAATATGTATAGCGTAGGTGGGCCACATGCCAGAGAACAATACCGATGCAATCTATATAAGTTGGTACTAATAATAAAAGCCATCAGGATGTTACTGTACGATAGTCGTTTATCGTATCCATTGAATGAGAAAGTATATCAAAATCTAATAACAGCTTTATGTGTAGATAATTATGTATTAAATATATACTCACTTCCAAAAGAAACGCAAACCCTAAAGTATGAAATTCCGAACACAAAAAGGTGATATATCCATACGTTTTCGGACATTTTGTACTTTAGGGTTTGCGTTTCTATTGTAAGTGAGTATAGTTTAGGAATGATGGATGATGGTCAGCAGTATTCCAGCTACATCACGATAGTCGATAAATAAAATAAATGTTGCTTTAAGGCCAGATTCACACAGTGCCGATTATGGCTCCCGTTTGAGATCAGACAGCGCTACGACACGAAAATTGAAAAAGTCGGATTACTATCCGCAATGATCTGAAATGTCCTAGACAGGCAGTGCTTGACAGAATTGGAAAATATACACACATTTGGTGTCAAAGGTTAACAATCCATTCCTGTTTGAGTCGCGTCGTATGATGTATTCTGGAATTGGACTGAAATTGAAGTCCGTAAAATGTATGAATCTCAGTGCCAACAGGTATCATGACATTTGTGATGTTGCTTTGAGTGACACAGAGTAGCTCATGTTTTTGTTACAACAAAGAAACACGTTCTGAATTTTAGGAATTGAACTGCAACACTGTGATTGTCGGATACATCTACATACAGCACCGTGTCACAGACAGTAAAACCAACATGTGTTTAAGAGTCCATGATTCATGATGACTTTTGTTTTTGTTCCTGAAGGTGCTGAAACTCTATGCATGGGAGGGGTCATTTAGGGACAAGATCATGGCCATCAGGGAGAAGGAGATGAAAGTCGTGATGAAAATAGCTCTGTTTGAGGTCCTGCTTGTCTTCCTGTGGATAGGCTTCCCAACACTGGTATGTCACCAGGCTGATTGTCTGTCGGTGCCCTTTCGATAAACAATGAATGAGAAGCGGCATTTGCTTGTCAAAATGACACACTACATAACTCCAAGATCTTATCCATTTTACAAAGCAACTTGTATTATATTGAATGTAGAGTTGACATATGAATTCAAATTCTATAATTCTTCTGATCGAGCAAGTGGTACAAAACCACATGGTTAGGACATGGTAGGACATGGTTATATGACTAATACATACACAGCTATATGTAATGAATACCTTTACCACTAGCTCCGATTCCGTTTGTATAGGTGTGTTTATTTCCTTGAGAATATCACCGCTGTAACCGCAGCCAGTGTTACTCACAGTGCACCCTGATGTTTTTTTCAGATAACGATTGCCTGCTTTGTAACATACATCATGACATCTCCTACCGCGTTCATGAGCTCCCAAACGGCCTTCGTCTCAATCGCTCTCTTCAACTACCTGAGGGGGGCTATGAACATGCTGCCCATGTGCATCTCGACTCTGGCACAGGTAGAACTTGTATGTCAACTTTAGCACAGGTAGTACTTGTATATCAACTCTGGCACAGGTAGTACTTGTACATCAACTTTAGCACAGCTAGAACTTGTATATCGACTCTTGCTCAGGTAGGAAGTGTATGTCAACATAAGCACAGCTGGTACTTGTATATCGACTCTTGCACAGGTAGTACTTGTATATCAACTACAGCACTTCTAGTACTTGTATATCGACTCTTGCACAGGTAGTACTTGTATATCAACTTCAGCACTGCTAGTACTTGTATATCGACTCTTTCACAGGTAGTACTTGTATATAAACTTCAGCACTGCTAGTATTTGCATATCAACTCTTGCACAGGTAGTACTTTTATATCAACTCTTGCTCAGGTAGGAAGTGTATGTCAACTTAAGCACAGGTAGTACTTGCATAACAACTCTTGCACAGGTAGTACGTGTACATCAACTCTTGCACAGGTAGTACTTGTATATCAACTACAGCACTTCTAGTACTTGTATATCGACTCTTGCACAGTTAGTACTTGTATATCAACTCTTGCACAGGTAGTACTTGTATATCAACTCTTGCACAGGTAGTACTTGTATATCAACTCTTGCACAGTTAGTACTTGTATATCAACTCTTGCACAGGTAGTTCTTGTATATCAACTCTTGCACAGGTAGTATTTGTACATCAACTCTTGCACAGGTAGTACTTGTATATAAACCATTGCACAGGTACTACTTGTATATCAACCCTTGCACAGGTAGTATTTTTAATGATTTCATTTTCTGGATATGCTTGATATCCTTTAAAATGTGTTCTGTTCTGTTCCACCTGAAAAGGTTTTATGTGTTAAAACAGTGTCCAATACATCACCCACCCCACCCCTCACGTCCAAAATATCAAATGGCCGATTTCTTTGCACAGCCAATAGAGTACTGTGATTGCAATAGCGTGAATCGTTATACACCTTAATAAACATGAAACAAATTATAAATGTCACTTTTTTCAGGTGCTTCTAATCTCCTGTCACAGATAGCTTGATATTCATATTTGTTATCAGTGTATAGTGTACACTCACAGCTAATGTACTAACTGGAGGCAAGATGTAAATATGTTGTCTTCACTTCAGGCAAGTCTGTCAACAAAGCGCCTGAACAAATATCTTGCTGAAGAGGACCTTGATCCCAGCACCGTGTCAGCCAACACTGCAGAAGGTCGAGTATCTGTGTATTAAGAACAAGCGTTTATGTGAATATAAAAATCTAAGAAATCTTTAAATTTCTCCATCTTCAATCATTAATAATCTACAAATAAATTTTTGATCATGGCACATACGGGAATGTCAGCTCTCGGTATGAGACATTTGTCCTCAAGATGTTTTGCTAACTAAACAAATTAATTTTATTTGCAAGACAAGGTCATGGATTAAATCAAGTTGGTACTGTCAACATTGAAAATTATCAGCAAGCAATCTGTATGTGTTATCGTATTGAGATCTTAATGTTTAGTATCATTATTTTAGCCCTTTTGAATACTTGAACAACTGCGGATTTAGTATTTTGCAGTGTGTTTATAATGATACGGTGTACTCGTATTTCTTATTTCAGGAGTTGCAATCAGTATTGATAAAGCCACCTTCACGTGGAGCACTGGATCAGAGTCAACCTTGAAAAAGTAACTACTGTAATGAACCTTGTCATGGGAGATGAATATCTTTACACTATTCTATCCATACCTGCAAATGTAATAAGCACAATGGATATAAAGCCGTGTTAACTTAAAGTCCTTGGGATGACCAAAATATACGGATAAAACCGTTAGCTCAGTGCCAGTAGAAGACAAAAATCCACGAACTCACCATTAGTTCAAGACATCCAAAGTGCCAGTATAAGAAAATAATCCACGGACTAAACATTAGTTCAAGACAACCAGAATGCCAGTATAAGACAATAGTCCACGGACGAACCATTAGTTCAAGACAACCAGAGTGCCAGTATAAGACAATAATCCGCGGACTTACCATTAGTTCAAGACAACCGGAGTGCTGGTATAAGACAATAATCCATAAACTAACCATTAGTTCAAGACAACCGGAGTGCCAGTATGAGACAATAATCCACGGACTAATAATTAGTTCAGGACAACCAGAGTGCCAGTATAAGACAATAGTCCACGAACGAACTCTTAGTTCAAGACAACCAGAGTGCCAGTATAAGACAATAGTCCACGAACGAACTCTTAGTTCAAGACAACCAGAGTGCCAGTATAAGACAATAATCCACGGACTAATAATTAGTTCAGGACAACCAGAGTGCCAGTATAAGACAATAGTCCACGGACGAACTCTTAGTTCAAGACATCCAGAGTGCCAGTATAAGACAATAACCCACGGACTAAACATTAGTTCAAGACAATCAGAATGCCAGTATAAGACAATAACCCATGTACTAACCATTAGGTCAAGACAATCAGAATGCCAGTAAAAGACAATAATCCACGGGCTAACTATCAGTTCAAGACAACCAGAGTGCCAGTATAAGACAATAACCCACGGACAAGACATTAGTTCAAGACATCCAGACTGCCAGTATGAGACAATAATCCAGGGACTAACCATGCATTTGTTCAAAACAACCAGAGCGTCAGTATAAGACAATAATCCACGGAATAACCATGAGTTCAAGACTATCAGAGTGCCAGTATGAGACAACCAGGATTCCTTTAAATGATCATCATTCACGTACTGACTATTAGTTCAAGACAACCTGAGTGCCTGTATTTGACAATGATACTGATGAGGAATCGCACTGGACAATACAGATACAAGGTTATAATGAACGCAAAGTGTTTCACTTTATTTCGTTTACCCCTTTCAGTATCAACCTGTCTGTGCCTACTGGTCAGCTAGTGGCGATAGTGGGGTCAGTCGGTGCAGGCAAATCGTCGCTACTGTCAGCCATGTTGGGAGAGATGCGGAAACTAAAGGGCCACGTGGCCATGCAAGTGAGTGCTGACCGACCTGGTACTAGTATTTGTGGTGCTGACAAGATCACTAACATTCACCAATAAATTATTATCTTACTACAGCGATAGAAACTAACTGTTTTAGTCCACTCGTCCTTATAATAACATATAGGAAACCTCTTTAAAATGGCAAATTTCAATAGTCCTTATGATACCTTAACTATTGGCCACTGTGACAAGGACTTTTGGACTAGTGACAATTTCTAACGCTGTACTAGCTGACACAAGCAAGAGTAAGTCCTTACAGTCATCAGCTGGTCATAACAGTATGTTTACGTCAATCACCCCTTCTATATCTTTACCGGAGATTAAGATTAATCAGTTGAGATGGTAGGGGGTCACTGATCGATAGGGACCTATTTTAATTGAGTAAACATTTAGTGTCAGGAATATAAAAGCCTGTAAATGTGTGTTGAGTTTCTGAATTTTAATTTGTTTTTGATAATGAGTTCATTATGAATCAAATATTTGACACGATTAACAAGAAATCTCCCTTTTCAAAACATGAGGCCATATTTAAATGAACGAAATAATATTACGAAATTATGCTAACACTGTAAATAACAGGAACATTTCACGCATATGATTTGTACATTATCTAAGTGATGCAAATGTGTACTTTAAAAGATCATCTTGGTTACATTATTGGCCCATGTACAGCTGGCAGTTGGTTACTCTCAATTGTCTTCCCTGTGCTTCCTTCAGAGAAGTGTGGCATATGTGCCACAAGAGGCCTGGATACAGAACTTGTCTCTCAAAGCTAACATTGTCTTCGGCTCTGAAACGGACAATAAGAGGTATCTGGATGTTATCAAAGCGTGTGCCCTGGAATCTGATCTGGAGACACTTCCTGGTGGAGCCAACACAGAGATAGGAGAAAAGGTAGCTAATGCACATCTCTCGTAATCAGTCCTGGTGGACACAGATATGGAAGAGCAATGCAGCGGCCATACATGAACAGTTTTTTAAATAGGATTTCATTTATACTATGATGTCAGTTATTGTGAAAATGAAATGAAGGAATAGTTTTGGGCAGTGCAGGTATAAATATCATTTCCAGGGCATCAACCTGAGTGGAGGACAGAAGCAGAGAGTGTCTCTAGCCCGAGCTGTGTACAGTGACAAGGACATATATTTGATGGATGACCCTCTCAGTGCTGTCGACTCCCATGTTGGCAAACACATCTTCAGTCATGTTATAGGACACCAGGGAATGCTGAAGGACAAGGTGAGGGGGCAGATCGTGTATCATAGGACAAACACATCTTCAGCCATGTTATAGGACATCGGGGAATGCTGAAGGACAAGGTGAGGGGGCAGATCGTGTATCATAGGACAAACACATCTTCAGTCATATTATAGGACACCAGGGAATGCTGAAGGACAAGGTGAGGGGGCAGATCGTGTATCATAGGACAAACACATCTTCAGTCATGTTATAGGACACCAGGGAATGCTGAAGGACAAGGTGAGGGGGCAGATCGTGTATCATAGGACAAACACATCTTCAGTCATGTTATAGGACATCAGGGAATGCTGAAGGACAAGGTGAGGGGGCAGATCGTGTATCATTGGACAAACACATCTTCAGTCATGTTATAGGACACCAGGGAATGCTGAAGGACAAGGTGAGGGGGCAGATCGTGTATCATAGGACAAACACATCTTCAGTCATGTTATAGGACATCGGGGAATGCTGAAGGACAAGGTGAGGGGGCAGATCGTGTATCAAAGGACAAACACATCTTCAGTCATTTTATAGGACACCAGGGAATGCTGAAGGACAAGGTGAGGGTGCAGATCGTGTATCATAGGACAAACACATCTTCAGTAATGTTATAGGACACCATGGAATGCTGAAGGACAAGGGGAGGGGGCAGATCGTGTATCATAGGACAAACACATCTTCAGTCATTTTATAGGACACCAGGGAATGCTGAAGGACAAGGTGAGGGTGCAGATCATGTATCATAGGACAAACACATCTTCAGTCATGTTATAGGACATCGGGGGATGCTGAAGGACAAGGTGAGGGGGCAGATCGTGTATCATAGGACAAACACATCTTCTGTCATGTTATAGGACACCAGGGAATGCTGAAGGACCAAGTGAGGGGGCAGATCGTGTATCATAGGATAAAGACAGTCATGTTATTCTACACGAGGCAATGACAAAGGTTAAGGCTGTAGGGACGGATCATATTTATAACATAGTTATCCTCTGTTCCGGATTATTGTTGGAATCCGGCAGGAATTCGGTGTTTTCCACTCATATTCTTTATATGGTACAGATATAGACCATCGGCACATGGTACATAATCGAGCACTTTGTACATCTCAGTTCAGTTATGTACCATAACACTCTGTAAAGGATGCAGATCATTTAAATACAAATAAGCTTTTGAAATATTCAGTGAATGGTAAATAAAGGAAGCTAAATTTCATACAACTGTTTCTTTTGAAGTAGACATGAGTATTTAATATTTTAGCAGTGACGGACGGACATTATATTTATGAAGTAAGTGCATTTGCCGGAGGTCTTTAAAAACATTACAGATTAGCAAAAGTGGTACTGTGTTTACATAGCCCAGATTACAAACCTTGCATGGTGAGTGTTATGTAGGTACATGTACATATCTACCTGTCTCAATACATAACTCACGTGAGCTGCAGCGAAACTGAGTGAGTGAGTGAGTGAGTATGGCTTTACGCCGCTTTTAGCAATATTGCAGCAATATCACGACGGGGGGACACCAGAAATGGGCTTCACACTTTGTACCTATGTCGGGAATCGAGCCCGGGGTCTTCGGTGTGACGAGCGAACGCTTCAACTACTAGGCTACCCGACCGCCCCTGCAGCGAAACTGAGCAATAGCACCCTGGATTTATTCACTGTCACTTACTTACTGATATAAGGCTCAACAAAAATTCTTGAACTATGAATAATGAAGCATTTAGTACTCCCAGAAAGTTCAGCATGCCGATCGTGTTCAAGGTTAACATACAAAACAGATTCTGACATAAAATATTATTGACAGTAAATTCTCTGGTTTGGTTCAATGGATCAATCACCGTATGTAAGAAGAAGAGATTTTATCTATCACGCCCAGTCTGTTTTACCATTAATACATGCTTGATATAACATTTTTGGGGATATCGTGAATCTAGCATTTTTTAACAACGTTTTCCAAGCAAGTGTGTATTTCTTTAATGTTAATAATACCCCCCATTACTGCGCAATAGGAACAACCTTTGCATCACACGTTTTGAGAAATAGTGTGTAAGGAATAAGTGTACATATCACAAGTGCTTTCTGGTAGAACACAGTATATTTTCAGCTTGGGACACTGTGTTATTATATTGTTTTGACCAGGATAAATTCCCCGCAAAACATACACCAACATATTTATAAGACGACACATCTCCATTTCGATTAAGACCATATTGGATTAAGACCATACTTCCTCTTTTCATATCTGGAAATAATTTCAACATTTAAAAGACAACAACTTTCATCTTTCCTAGGTTTACTGGAAACTTGTTAACAAAGCAGTACTTTTCCAAAATATCTATTCTGTTCTGCTGACCAAACACAGTTTCAGAAATGAGTTTGACATCGCCTGCAAACATCAAAAGAAACAGCTGTATGCCTTCTTGGTGTAACTGGATACCAGGTCCTGAATTCTCTTCTTTTCCCCCTGCTAGATCAACAATACATATCTGGTAATCCAAAACTAATATATAATTTGGAGATTACATTCAAATATTTCAGAAAAAGAAGTTAACAATTTTAAGATATGAGCATATATTTTTATGTATAGACTGTAAGCATCCAAAGATATTTGGTGAAACACCATTAGTATCGAGATCTCTAGTTATCGATAACTAGACCTGTTAATAGAGCTTAACGATTTTGACCAATCAACAAATGAAATACATAACTTTGCTCTTTTCTTAGAAAAGTATTTATATTTCTCTGGAATATAGGCTGTAAAATACACAAATGTCAACACAAGAATATTTACAGGGAAATCCCACATGACACTCTGACATGTTGTCATAAGCTTGACTTCAAAGCTTTAATCTTTATATTTACTTTATATAATCTGAATATATAGCTTACTAAAACACTCAAAACTGTTATATCTCTGTAAGTAACTCGCAAAGTTGTTTCCCCTTTTTTGAACAATGTGACTAACTGTCCGCGAAATTGGAAACTTAGTTGTTCAAACCTACTATCAAATGATATTGTAATACAAGATAGAATAAAGTCACATGGATGCTTAACCATTTCTGCAAAAAGAGAACAGGCTTTCAATAGGAGTGAGTGAGTGAGTTATGGTTTATAGTCACATCGGCAATATTTCAGCCATATCGTGACGCTTTCAATAGGAGAGTCTAAGATGGATTGTGTTACATCATCAACATTAATATTATCGATACGCCATTCTTGGTCTTCAACTTCCGTGGATTCAGATTCAATAAGTATTTCAATGGTTTTTACTACATTAGGCAGATGTTTGATTCTAACTGTTGAAAAGCTTTTCAACGATAACCAAAATATTTTACTGCCGTACAAATTATTCAATATCTTAAGTTGAACATTATCGTATAGTGTCTCCGTTTGTGACGAAGGACATGTCTGTACCTATTTATAGCTGTAATATAACCAAATTATTATATCATGTAATTTAAATAATGCAATCTAAATTACTGGCAAGGAGAATAGCAACATTCCTTATCAAACCAAGGTAACACCAACACTAAATGTACGTTTTTCATACAATCAGCAGCACAACACAATGCATTTGTAAATAATTCAACTGCTTCATCCAACGAATTTGAGTAGAAAATTTCAGTACACCAGTCAAGCATGGATACAGCACGGAGTCAGCAGGGAGTAACGAAACTCTAAGAGTCTCTAAATATAGCTGCCTTGTCCTCGCACCTGACGCCAGCTTCTGGTGCATCACGGGACTTGGCAATTAGGTCCGACGTAAAGGGATTCGAATCACACGTTGATAATCGCGCTCTTGTCACTCAAATAGAGGTAAAGCCAGCCTTTTAGAAACATTCCGAAACTTCCCGAACGATCAAGTCTGTCATTTTTGCTTACAGTAGGCAGGGGATGTAATTCTGATCACATTTCCTGTTTGGGCCACTACAGCCCTCAAACATTTGACTAGTATTTCAGTCATTTGCTGCCACTGACCATCACAACAATAGTACCTCTACCACAGGCTAGCGCCATATGACGATTCGTCACATCTTACACAATCCATTCAAGATAATGCATATGTGTATCATTTGTTTCATTTTTGACGACACTACACATCCAATAAACATGTCATAGAATGGTTAATTTTCTTTGAGAAATATCCTAAGACGTAAAAAACTATTTCCATTTGCGAGGTTATCCTTTGTTTACATTTGGTTGTACGGATATACGTTTTGTCGTCGAAGCCCTACGGAGAGCAAGCGACACTTTGATGTGAAAAAATATATTGTCATGCACATCACTGTCGCACTTCTAAGTAGCATATCAACATAAAAATGCAAAACAGTATGCAAAGAGCTCCGAAAAGGTTTGCATTAGGCCTGTCTGTTCTGATTTCAGAATAAGTGCGTTTGTTTATAAACAAGAGAAAAGTCCAATGTGATATGCAAATTAGCCTATGGCAGTGGTGTTACGTTAAGTCACAAATGCGCCGGCTTGTGATACATTCTCTTTGTAAATTTGTATCGTGTCTTCTGTACGAAATGTATTGCCACGCAACTTTGAACATTGTAGCAATCGCAACTTTGCACTTTGCAACTTTGTAATTTTTTAAATACGCAAACCGACAAGGACCGTAAAAGAAGTACTATTCTAATAATATTAGCTTCCATGGTGATGCGGCCGTCAAATGGCCTGTTCCAATTAGAGGGGGGTTATTGTAATTTGATACATCTGATTGACCCATCAAAATCTCATGGTATAAATTTACTTACATATTGTTCAACTGTTGACTCTCCTTTCAGACCCGAGTACTTGTGACTCATGGCGTTCACTGGCTACCTATGGTTGACGTTATTGTGGTAGTGGACCAAGGGGAGATAACTGAAGTCGGATCGTATGAAGAGCTTCTTGATCATGACGGACCATTTGCACAGTTCCTTAAGACATATTTGCTACAAGGGAAGGGCGGAAACCTTGAGGAGGAAGAGGGTAAGCAAACTACGGTTACTCCTACTGAAAGCATGGGTCTTATGTGTCAAGTGTAACTCCAATCAGATACATATACTCATTTGAGAGACAAAGAAAATGTTGCAGTTCTTAAATCTCTGACATAATAAGATTTCATATACTCTTTTCAATTTCAGTGCAAGAAATCCGTAGCACCCTATCAAAGAACTCCGTTTCCTCACACAGTTTGTCGCCGTCAAAGATTTCGGATTATCTTCATAGTCCACAGTTACCTCGGCAGTTGTCAGAAGAATCCGAAACAAATATCAGACAAAGACATCATAATGAGAATCTTTTTGGATCTGTGGGGTATATAACACATCAATACTCGATGCCTTACAGAAGGTTTCCTTCGAAGATCCGGGCTGGAATTCTTCAGCCACCCATGCTTGTCGTAAGAGGCGACTGATGGGATCGGGGGGTCAGACTCGCTGGCTCGATGCATGCCATCGTATTTGCGAAGATCGATGCTCATGATGTCTGGTCCAGGCTTAATTATTTACAAGCGCTGGTATGAAGCTGGAATATTACTGAATACAGCGTTAAATAACAAACAAACATAACACAATAGGTTTTACATTTTAGAACAAGTTATCTGTTTTTTTCTATTACCATAAGATGTCATAAAAGAGATATTTCAGATCCCAACTGCTAAGATTGGGATTGCTTTGATTGTTAAGTTATGGGGGCGGTCGGGTAGCCTAGTGGTTAAAGCGTTCGCTCGTCACGCCGAACACCCGGGTTCGATTTCCCGACATGGGTACAATGTGTGAAGCCCATTTCTGGTGTCCCCCGCCGTGGTATTGCTTGAATATTGCTACAAGCGGCGTAAAACCACACTAACTCACTCACTCACTGTTAAGGTATAGCCAGGCATTGTAAAAGTGGTAAGACAACAACCACCACCATTGACAACAGATACCGTTGGGTTCAGGCTTATCTAATGTTCCAGTTCCCTTGCAAGTTGTAACATGGACGGCGACCTTAACCGTGAAGTGTTTGTAGCTGACGGAGCAACAGTTGGAGAAGAATACAAACTTATTGAGGATGAATACACAGAAACGGGAAACGTGGGTATCCTTCTTTTTTATTTGACATCTGCCTGCAAAGATAGGTGACGTGCAGCACCAGTGCTGTATGTGGAACACAGCAACATGCTTGCACTACAGCTTTTGATGCAATATCAGATCAAATCAGTATGTGCTGATGATTGAAAAACAAACCGTAAAGGGAAAGATGTACTTGATATGAAAGTTTGTATCTACTCCAAAGATTTGTATATATGTTTTGATAATGTAGCAGATACATGCCAAAGCCAGAGGATTATCCCTCTCGATACTCTGATCATTTGGTGAAGATTTTTCTACAATAACTAGTATTAAAATTTTAGTGAATAACCAACGATAAGTATTGATATACGGATTTTCTGGCAGGAGCAAATCTACTTTTTTAAGAATCGAGTCGCATCATCAATCATTTTTTGTGACCAACCATAAGATAAGGACCTTATGGGAGAAAAATAACATTTTAAGTTTTCATTATATTTCAAAACTACAGCATCTCCGGAAGCTTAAATTCATCTTGATTATACATGACATATCGATGTTCAATGAAGTGAGTTGACGTTAAACGTTTTTCCTGGAGTCATGGCACAAATGTATAATTACACCCATAAGGTCCCCTTTCTTCTCGTGGGTGACATGTGATAAACCGTAATGTTCTGTATATTACCCATTGCCATAGTAAGAAAGAAAATTAATATATTTTTTTTCTTTGGAAATGTCAACCCCAAAGGTTTTCCAAGAACTGGAGTAATATATTACTCCAGTTCTGTATATCGTTATAGGTAATATAAAGGCGATATCTCTCCCTTTTCAGTAATTGTACGTTTGTTTCAGGTGAGGTATTCAATACTGAAATCCTACTTCTCTGTGATTGGCTGGGTGTCTGCTGCTGGGATTATGGTTCTCTATATCATCTACAACTTTGCCTGGGCTATGTCCAACATATGGCTCAGCCACTGGACAGAGGACCCAAGTCTTAAGACTATTGCCCATCTTCAGGCTAGGAACTATACCAGTCGGTTGAACTCAACTGGGAACGAGTTTAACATCACTGGGGACAGTTCGGTCAGCAGAGACAAACTGCAGTCGTTGTCCTACTACTATTTGGGCGTATATTGTGCTATCGCATTAACTCAAGGTAAGTACTGTGGGACACCATCACCACTGGACTAAGATCTGTTTGTTTGTTGTTTAACACCGCACTCAGCAACATTGCTGCTATATGACGGGGGTCTGTAAGTAATTGAGTCTAGACGAGACAATCCAGTTATTGATGCCATGAGCATCGACCTACGTAATTGGGATACGATGACATGCATCAACCAAGTCATCGAGCCTGACCACCCGATCCCGTTAGTTGCCATTTACGTCAAGCATAATCGCGTGTTACAGCAAGCATAGGTTGACCAACTGAATTTAAGAGTACTGAGAATGCGTGATTCCTAAATCAGCAATCTGCGGAGAGCCGATATAAAGCCTTCGGTCTGATGAGAAATCTGTTATCAGTCTATAAAAAATTGTTTGAAACCATTTATCAGCCTTATGGGGTTATTGTTTCACTGTATTTTCCATATGTATCTGACATAGTGCTTGTCTTTTAGAAGATGTTACATGTCAGCTGATATGCCATATAATGGCCAATTTACTGAAAGGCTTCATGACATTTTATATAGAGATTAATTTATTCCACGGAACATGACCAACTAGTACCAAAATACCAGAATAAAATCCCTATTTAGGCGAGTTAAAACAATTCCATTGAAATGTCTGTAAATTCTGAATGTTCATAAAATGTTCATAAGAAGATACAAAGATATGATTTTGTCAACCCCTCAGTAGGTATCTGAGTGTTATATTTTTAATTTTAGAAAGAAATATATTATTAACATACATATTTAGGGGCCATGCAGATGTTGCCTGTATTTACAGTGTTACAATAAATGGTGGCTTGTGTTTGGAAACCAGTTTACAGTTTAATTAAGGAACACTCACATCAATTGAGTTAGTGAGTGGGCGAGTTTCACACGGCAATCAGTGATATTCGTCATCTTCATCAAAGCAGGCCCTTGATACTTGAATATGTTCTTGCAGGAAGGAAAGGGCATCTTAAAGTCATTATTGATTTTCATTATGCCATTCCTATAATTTTCACATCTACTTTGCCCTTTACAGCAAATGAAATCTGTTTCTGCGGATAATCAAGACTGTTTTTTTCTCTGTATTGGCATTTTATATTTATAAAGGTCTAACTTTAGAATAGGTGTGTATTGTGGTATTACCTGCTGAACTCTAACAATATACATTCTAGTTTTTGAAAGTTCTGTGATGTGATTTCAGCTGTGAGTGTGATGCTGAACTCCCTACTTGTATACGTAAGGATGGTTGAAGCTGCCAAGGTAACACATAAGAATCTCCTGGACAACATCATCAAACAGCCAATGAGCTTCTTTGACACAACACCAACTGGACGAATCTTGAATCGTTTTACAAAAGACGTTGACGTCGTTGACGGTCATCTTCCCCGGGTGTTGCGGTTGTGGCTAGAATTTATTTTCTATCTGATCAGCATCCTTGTGGTGATTTCCTACAGCACACCAATGTTCCTGGGTGTTGCAGTCCCTGTCATAATATGCTTCATCTTTATACAGGTAGGGAATTATATGATAATATGCTTTAGCTTAATATAGGTAGGGGCATATTGTGATGATATGCTTCATATTTATACAAGTAGGGGATTATATGATAATAGCTTCATCTTTATACAGGTAGGGTTTTATATGACAATATGCTTTAGCTTAATATAGGGAGGGGTATATTGTGATAATATGCTTCATCTTTATACAGGTAGGGTATCATATGATAATATGCTTTAGCTTGATATAGGTAGGGGTATATTGTGATGATATTCTTCATCTTTATACGAGTATGGAATCTGGTGTGATAATATGCTTCATCTTTATACAGGTAGGGTATCATATGATAAGATGCTTTAGCTTAATATAGGTAGAGGTATATATTGTGATAATGTGCTTCATCTTTATACAGGTAGGGTATCATATGATAATATGCTTTAGCTTAATATAGGTAGGGGCATTTTGTGATAATATGCTTCATCTTTATACAGGTAGGGTATCATATGATAATATGCTTTAGCTTAATATAGGTAGAGGTATATTGTGAAGATATGCTTCATCTTTATACAGGTAGGGTATCATATGATAATATGCTTTAGCTTAATATAGGTAGAGGTATATTGTGATAATATGCTTCATCTTTATACAGGTAGGGTATCATATGATTTTATGCTTTAGCTTGATATAGGTAGGGGTATATTGTGATGATATGCTTCATCTTTATACAGGTAGGGTATCATATGATAATATGCTTTAGCTTAATATAGGTAGAGGTATATTGTGATAATATGCTTCATCTTTATACAGGTAGGGTATCATATGATTTTATGCTTTAGCTTGATATAGGTAGGGGTATATTGTGATGATATGCTTCATCTTTATACGAGTATGGTATCTGGTGTGATAATATGCTTCATCTTTATACAGGTAGGGTATCATATGATAATATGCTTTAGCTTGATATAGGTAGGGGTATATTGTCATGATATGCTTCATCTTTATACAAGTATGGATCTGCTGTGATAATATGATTCAACTTGATACCGGCAGGGGATTATCGCGATCATATGTTTTAGCTATATACAAGTATGGGTTTATTGTGATAATATGTTTAAGCGATATACAAGTATTGGTTTATTGTGATAATATGCTTTGGTTTATACAGCCAGGGGGTTAGTGTGATAATATGCCTCAGCTTTATACAGGCAGGGGTTTATCATGACATATCTCGAATATCGACAAATGCATAAAAAAGAACATCCTCACTCACTCTTAGAGTATCAAGTCAACTCTATGGCACTGATGTTAACGCATATCATACTTTCCACAGAGGATGTACACGCCCACATCTCGGCAACTGCGACGATACTTCTCTGCATCCAAGTCACCTGTCTTCTCCCACTTCACCGAAACCATTCACGGAGCCTCGTCTGTTCGTGCCTTCATGGCCCAGGACCGCTTTTTCAACAGCTCCTTACAGAGAGTGAACGAACACAACGTCTTCTACTACGGGGCTGTCACGACACATAGGTAGTACCCGTTTCTACAAGTATCAGTTTGAGTGTTTTATTTTGTTTTCATGTAGCAGTAGAACCGTGAAGATTCCGGGGTAGAATAGGTCTTCAGCAACCCATGCTTGCCGTAAAAGGTGACTATGCTTGTCGTAAAAGGTGACTAATGGGATCGGGTGGTCTGGCACGCTGACTTGGTTGATGCATGTCATCGATCCCAATTGCGTGGATCGATGCTCATGACATTAATCACTGGATTGTCTGGTCCAGACTCGATTATTTACAGACCGCCGTCACATAGCTGGAATATTGCTGATTGCGGCGTTAAACAACAAACCAACCAACCAACCAATCATGTACATATACTTGCTCTGTAAGCTGCTCTAACCGGAGTTTGGAAGCCAAAGGAGTGGCCAATGGTTAATAATAATATGTACATTTATAAAACAAAATTCAGTTCACCAAGTGGAAGCTCATAGTGCTAAACTATTATTACCCCGATCAGTGGATCGGTGTGCACTCAATTTTCGTTCTCAGCTCCCAGGGGAGTATATATTCCAAGCTACCTGTGAGGAGGTAAAGGTTAACTGCAACATTTCCATGTTATCCTGCCGGCTACCCATTCACTGCTGGGTGAACAGAGGAATATTTCGAACAAAGTCACTTTCCTAATGGTTCTATATTTGTAATGGTCACAATCTGCGAAAACATGGTCGTGAGACGTTGAAAACATTGAGTACATAATAAGTCTGCAACCTCCACAGTGTAGAGACAAGCCTGCATGTGGTGTTTTATCTATCTGTTCTGGTTTGGTATTGCTACAAGGGGCGGTCGGGTAGCCTAGTGGTTAAAGCGTTCGCTCGTCACGCAGAAGACCCGGGTTCGATTTCCGACATGGGTACAATGTGTTAAGCCCATTTCTGGTGTCACCCGCCGTGATATTGCTGGAATATTGCTAAAAGCGGCGTAAAAGCATACTCGCTCACTGGTATTGCTTCAAGTCTGCGTCTGTTCACAGATGGATGAAGATGCGTCTTGACGCATTGGGGTGTCTGGTGATGTTCGGCGCGACACTCCTGGGCGTGGTCAGCCCTCATATCTCTCCAGGGGACGTCGGACTCTCTATTACTTATGCCTTAATGGTAATTAGTGTGAAAGAGTGAGTGTGTTCAGATTTATAGTCACATCGGCAGTATTTCAGTGACTACAACAATTTAGACATAAATTAGTGTGAATGACTAACAGCGGACTCCGGAGACACAACAAATTCCTTCACGTTTTGTTTACAGTGGAAATCCAACTGAAATGTATAGAAGTGACGATAATTATGTTCTTTTATTAATCTAACAAATATTCAATGCTTAACAGTGAGTGAGTGAGTGAGTGAGTGGTTTAACGCCGCTTTTAAAATTATTCCAGTTATATCACGGCGTGTCAGCTTAATGTGGGAGGAAAGCCCGAAGTGATGCAGGTCTAAGACGTTTACCACTTCGGTGAAACCCACGAGCACGGGTATGGTGCTGACAAACCTAGGAACATAATCGGGGCGAACCGGGATTCGAACCCACAAGTTCTGTTGACAGGTGACAGGCTGTCTCGTGATGATGGTGATAATGACGACGGAGCTGGAGACACATGTGGTGTCCGTGGAGAGGATGGCGCAGTACACGTCACTACCGACAGAGGTAATTTGGATTTTTATACATTCTGGAATCATATTTGGAATACTGTACAATAATACCGTATCGGTTCGTACTGAACTTAATTGTGAAATCATTAAATGAGCACACACTATCCATGAATAATTGATAAATCATATTGAAACACACATTTTTAGGATGACATTACAAAAAGGCCTCATTAGTAGCAACAGTAACCATTTTATGATATGACAGCTGTGTTAGAATGAGTGATGTATTGGATGTGTCATGATACATCCACAGGCGGGACAGTTGTTGACATGACAACGGTCTTAGAATGAATGATCTTTTGGGTGTGTTTTGATACATCCACAGACGGGACAGTTCACCAGATGACATCGATGTTAACATGAGTGATGTAATTGGGGTGTTCTGATACATCCACAGACGGGACAGTTGTTGACATGACAGCGGTCTTAGAATGAGTGATGTATTGGGTGTGTTTTGATACATCTACAGACGGGACAGTTCACCAGATGACAGCGATGATGAACATGAGTGATGTTTTGGGTTTTCCCTTTTGTTGGACAGTGTAACATTATACTGACACCTCATACTGACCGTGGCAAAGTGTGATTCGTAATAAACCAAATCTTGAACCAAGAAAGAAGTTGAGCACCTCCAGAAATATTTCAGTGACTAATGAAACAAGTGCTGGAAGGAAACTGACAAATTGCTGAACATTTCCTTTTCTCATTGAATGTTTTTAAATAGATAGCATCAAGTATAAAACACTTAGCTAAGCTAGCAAATCTCTCAAATATTTCTTTTAAACTTTGCTTGTCTCTACACTTAGGGACTCAGCAAATATATCCGCCTTTACCTCAATATTACTGATTTCATAATAATAATAATGTGGAAATCAACGAGGATAGAATGAATCTTTGTGTTTACAAATGTATAATTTTTAGGAAATTTTATTCAGATTCCGGACGAATCCTCCCTTATAAAGTGATTTGCATATTGTAAAGGTTAAGCAAGAAATTCAGAAATTCAGTAAATGGCCACACATTCAACAAATAGTCAACACATCATATTTAAACATACAGTTTTAGATTTTTAATAAGAAAAACAATACAATGTGGTAGCAGCAATAAGTAATAGGCCCTAGAATAATTGTTAGTGCACTCAGAAACTTTCAGAATATTGTCACTGTTGATTGCCTTTTTTTCCATGCTTGAATCCAGAACAGTATTGAGAGCTGCCAGTCAGTCATCACAACCACTATTTGGCGAGTAGATTAAAAACAAATCAGGTTGAAAAAGGCCTCGACACGCTCTAATATAGATACAACCATCCTTCTTCAAACTGTCCAGTTCCGAAACTTTCCCAACGATCATGCCTGTCGTGTTCATGTAAACAATCAGTGTCAGATAACTGGAGGTCAAAGCGTTTCCGAAGAGTTCCATTCGCTGCTGTTGACTGCAGTACAAATCCGGCTACGACAGCACTTTTACCAATAGTTCAATAGTTTGCTGCCAATGACAATTAATGCAAAATGTATACTCTACAGCTACTTACACATACTTATGCATCTTACCATGGTGTTTTTTCTCTCTCTAATGTGTTCAAAAAGGTTCTTGTGTGTCATTGTTCCACAGCATGATATAGAACTTACAGATTGATTGTTTGTTGTTCAGAATATTCCAGCTACATGACGGCGGTAGAACTTCGAGAATGTCCCGAAACCATTTAAAGAAGACTAACGCCAATTAAATATTGTCTAACGCCTCATATAGCACTATCAAAAGTGAAGCGCAGGGAACACCAAAATGGTTTCTAACATAAAGGGAATAGAACCAAAGCCTTTGGTGCGACGATCAAGCGCTTTAACCATGAGGCCAACCACAACACTTCACATAATAGGAAGCCGTTTAAATGCACAACACTACTTTGTAGGCTGCCTGGGTTATTCAACAAAACAGACCATCGCCTGAGTGGCCGGAGAGTGGACACATCAAGTTTGACAATCTGAAGATCCGCTACCGCCCAGAGCTGGATCTGGTCCTGAAGGGAATCAGCTGTGACATCAAGCCTGGGGAGAAGGTACAGGAGCCATGTGTAGACATTAATTCTTTACATCGTCTAAAGATAAAGGGATTGTTATCATATGATGTTTGTATTGTCTCAGATTGGCGTGGTGGGGAGAACTGGCGCAGGGAAGTCGTCCTTGACCTTGGCGTTGTTTCGGATCCTGGAGGCAGATGAAGGCCGTATCCTGGTGGATGGCCACGACATTGCTGACATTGGACTGCACGATCTGAGGTCAAGACTTACGATTCTGCCTCAGGTACACATACTCTGAAGTTGTTTGAACATGAATAGCCTGACTGTCAACACTGACATGGGAACCTCGATGTTCCTTCTGACACAGATTTGGATGTGAAACTTCCACCAGAGGATGAAAACATATTTATTGGAGAAATAAAATATAAATAAGATCAATGAAAGATATAAATAAGATCAACATCAGATATAAATAAGTTCAAAATAATCCACAGCATGGTATTCAGTGAGTCAGTAAGAGAGCATATTGGTGTCACTTGTTGAAAGAAATTTGAAGTGTGAGATACTAAGAGATACCAACGAGGAGAATCGAACCCTGTTCTTTGGTTTTAACAAATAAGTGTTCAACTAAGTTACACCAGGTGGCCCGGCTTTAGGAGCAATGTATAAAAAACATGTATGTCCAGGTATATGTTCTCATTCATCAGGAACCAATGCTGTTTTCTGGTACGCTGCGTCTGAACCTGGATCCATTCGAGAAGCACAGTGACGAGGATCTGTGGCTGGCCCTGGAGAGAGCTCACCTCAAGGACTTTGTGTCCGGGCTTAGTGAGGGTCTGCTCCATGAGTGTGAGGAGGGCGGACACAACCTCAGGTTAGTAAATACACTTATTACCCATTTGGTGAAGATGCAGGTGGTAAGATACTAAATCCGTACGGCACACGTGTGTCCTACAAGGTTGACCTCGTTTTATTCGTTTTGATTTGATAACCGTGACCTCGGTCAGATACCATAGAAAGTCAACTTGTTTCGTAAAAATGGTATCTTACGAGAATGAGTGTAGTATGCTATATTTCTTTCATAGACACACTCCAACACCTTCATACAGTGTGAGGGAGTAAGATGGGTTTAACGCCACTGTTAACAATATCTCGTGTCAGTATTCCAGTTCTATCACGGCGTGTCAGCTTAATGTTGGAGGAAAGTGATACAGAACACACCCATTTATAACATAAACATAACTTTGTGTAAAGTGGCAACACGGATCTGCAGACACAACCGCGGGTTAGTTCAGACATTTCTTCTACATATACTGTATTCCAGTATAAGACTAGTTTGGCGTGTCTGACAGAATAATCACTTTAGTATGTTGTATTCCAGTGAAGGACAGCGACAGTTGGTATATCTAGCCCGTAGTGTCTGAGGTGAGGTGAGGTGAGGTGAAATGGGGTTTAACGTCGCGTCCGAGATTATTGCACATATATAGCGACGTGCATGTACGTGTGTGTGTTTGTGTGGCTGCTTGTACTAGTCCGGACTGATTGATAGTGCTAGCTCACTGAGATACCATGCCGCAGTTTAACATGAATACCCCACTCAGACACAGTATACTGACTCCGAGCCGACCAGTCCTTGTTTTAGCCTCTTAATAACGAGCGCCAGACAGGGTAACAACAAGTACCATCTTTAAACGTCTTTTGGTATGACGCGGCCGGGGATCGAACTCCGGACCTTCCGCTCTCCGGGCGGACGCTCTACCACTAGACCACGGAGGCGGTTTCGTAGTGTCTGACAGTAGATCAATATAGTGTGTTGTATTCCAGTGTAGGACAGCGACAGTTGGTCTGTCTAGCCCGTACTGACTGACAGAAGATCAATCTAGTGTGTTGTATTCCAGTGTAGGACAGCGACAGTTGCTCTGTCTAGCCCGTACTGTCTGACAAAAGAATCACTTTAGTGTGGCAGTTGGTCTGTCTCTGTCTCGCCCGTAGTGTCTGACAGAAGAACATCCAGTGTGTTGTATTCCAGTGTAGGACAATGACAGTTGGTCTGTCTAGCTCGTACTGTCTGACAGAAGAATCACTTTAGTGTGGCAGTTGGTCTGTCTCTGTCTCGCCAATTAGTGTCTGACAGAAGATCAATCTAGAGTGTTGTATTCCAGTGTAGGACAATGACAGTTGGTCTGTCTAGCTCGTACTGTCTGACAGAAGAATCACTTTAGTGTGGCAGTTGGTCTGTCTCTGTCTCGCCTGTACTGTCTGACAGAAGAACCACTTTAGTGTGTTGTATTCCAGTGTAGGACAGTGACAGTTGGTTTGTCTCTGTCTCGCCCGTAGTGTCTGACAGAAGAACAATCTAGTGTGTTGTATTCCAGTGTAGGACAGTGACAGTTGGTCTGTCCAGCTCGTACTGTCTGACAGAAGAATCACTTTAGTGTGGCAGTTGGTCTGTCTCTGTCTCGCCCGTAGTGTCTGACAGAAGATCAATCTAGTGTGTTGTATTCCAGTGTAGGACAGTGACAGTTAGTCTGTCTAGCCGGTACTGTCTGACAGAAGAATCACTTTAGTGTGTTGTATTCCAGTGTAGGACAGCGACAGTTGGTCTGTCTACCTCGTACTGTCTGACAGAAGAATCACTTTAGTGTGGCAGTTGGTCTGTCTCTGTCTCGCCCGTAGTGTCTGACAGAAGAACCGCTTTAGTGTGTTGTATTCCAGTGTAGGACAATGACAGTTGGTCTGTCTAGCTCGTACTGTCTGACAGAAGAATCACTTTAGTGTGGCAGTTGGTCTGTCTCTGTCTCGCCCGTAGTGTCTGACAGTAGATCAATCTAGTGTGTTGTATTCCAGTGTAGGACAGCGACAGTTGGTCTGTCTAGCTCGGAGTCTGCTGAGGAGGACTAAAGTGTTGATCCTGGACGAAGCCACAGCAGCTGTAGACATGGAGACGGATGAACTCATCCAGAACACCATCAGGACCGCCTTCAGTGACTTTACAGTCATCACTATAGCTCACAGGCTGAACACTATCCTAGACTATGACAGGTCAGTGCGTCATCACTATAGCTCACTGGCTGAACACTATCCTAGACTATGACAGGTCAGTGTGTCATCACTATAGCACACAGGCTGAACACTATCCTAGACTATGACAGGTCAGTGTGTCATCACTATAGTACACAGGCTGAACACTATCCTAGACTATGACAGGTCAGTGTGTCATCACTATAGCACACAGGCTGAACACTATCCCAGACTATGACAGGTCAGTGTGTCATCACTATAGTTCACAGGCTGAACTGTATCCCAGACTATGACAGGTCAATATGTCATTACTATAGCTCACAGGCTGAACACTATCCCAGACTATAGATGACAGATCAGTGTGTCATCACTATAGTTCACAAGCTGAACTGTATCCCAGACTATGACAGGTCAATGTGCCATTACTATAGCTCACAGGCTGAACACTATCCCAGACTATGACAGGTCAATGTGTTATCACTATGGTTCACAGGCTGAACACTATCCCAGACTATGACAGGTCAATGGGTCATTACTATAGCTCACAGGCTGAACACTATCCCAGACTATGACAGATCAGTGTGTCATCACTATAGTTCACAGGCTGAACTGTATCCCAGACTATGACAGGTCAATGTGTGATTGCTATAGCTCACAGGCTGAACACTATCCCAGACTATGACAGGTCAATGTGTCATTACTATAGCTCACAGGCTGAAGACTATCCATCACTTGAACAGGTCAGTGTTTAAAGGCAAGATGACGTAAAGTTGGCCATTACGACTTGCACGGAGTATTCTGATTGTAAATGGCAGCTAACCACCTTCTCTCTTGCTTCAACGTTAAACGTTCACAGGCTGAACACTATCCTAGACTATGACACATGTGAGTGTGCTGTCACTGTAGCTCACAGGCTGAACACTATCCTAGACTATGACAGGTGAGTGTGTTGTCACTGTAGGTCAAAGGCTGAACACTATCCTAGACTATAACAGGTCTGTGTGTTGTCGCTGTAGCTCACAGGCTGAACACTATCCTAGACTATGACAGGTCAGTGTGTCGTCACTATAGCTCACAGGCTGAACAATATCCTTCACTATGACAGGTCAGTGTGTCGTCACTATAGCTCACAGGCTGAACACTATCCTTCACTATAACAGGTCAGTGTGTCATCACTGTAGTTCACAGGCTGAACACTATCCTAGACTATAACAGGTCAGTGTGTCGTCACTATAGCTCACAGGCTGAACACTATCTTAGACTATGACAGGTCAGTGTGTCATCACTGTAGCTCACAGGCTGAACACTATCCTAGACTATAACAGGTCAGTATGTCATCACTGTAGTTCGTAGCCTGAACACTATCTTAGACTATGACAGGTCAGTGTGTCGTCACTATAGCTCACAGGCTGAACACTATCTTAGACTATAATAGGTCAGTATGTCATCACTGTAGTTCACAGGCTGAACACTATCTTAGACTATGACAGGTCAGTGTGTCATCAATGTAGCTCACAGGATGAACACTATCCTAGGCTATGACAGGTCAGTGTGTCATCACTGTAGCTCACAGGCTGAACACTATCCCAGACTATGACAGGTCAGTGTGTCATCACTATAGAACACAGGCTGAACACTATCCTAGACTATGACAGGTCAGTGTGTCATCACTATAGTACACAGGCTGAACACTATCCTAGACTATGACAGGTCAGTGTGTCATCACTATAGAACACAGGCTGAACACTATCCTAGACTATAACAGGTCAGTGTGTCATCACTGTAGCTCACAGGCTGAACACTATCTTAGACTTAACAGGTTAGTGTGTCATCACTGTAGCTCACAAGCTGAACACTTTCCTAGAGTATGACAAGTCAGTGTGTCATCACTGTAGCTCGACTTGCACAGAGTATTCTGATTGTAAATGGCACCTAGCCACCTTCTGTCTTGCTTCAACGTTAAACGTTCATATTCACACGTCAACACGTTGTCTCCCACCAGGATCATGGTGCTGTCAGCGGGTGAGATCGAGGAGTTCGCAAGTCCCAAGTCACTGCTGGAAGACACAAATTCCATGTTCTACTCACTCGCCAAGGATGCAAATATTGTCTCATAAACCCCACTGACGCAGTGAGCACCATGAAGAAGTTTGGCAGCGATGTTTCTTCACGACGTGAGCAGCTGAAGAGGAGGGAGGGCGTCTCTCCTGATGCTGTTTTCACTGAATAGGAAGATCAGCTGTCAGAGGCTCTTCTAGTGGCATTATAAACATTTGAGCAAACACTGTGATATTACATACTCAAACAGATTGGTAAAACGGTGTAATATTGTCTCTCCTACTCATGTATTATTCATCAATTAATTGTCTTACTTGCAAAAAATTTTTTATCGGCAGTTTGTTTAATAGTATTTGGGTGTGTTCAAACCCAAGAACATATTTTGGGTCATTCGAATGGAGGCGCTATATGGCTGAAATAATGCCGTTGCGACGTAAAAATTTAAATCACTCACTCGTTCGAAAGGTAGCATCGCGGTAGCACTGGACAAATGCCACACAAAGTCTACTCTACCCCTCGAAAGATTTTTACCTACTCCTAAATGAGCCTAAGTAAAAAGTAACGTTGAATTTAGACAATGTACAACATGTAATTGAGTAACACATATATATAACTACACGCTCCCCGTCATGTTCCGTTTTTATTAAAATCTGGATATCAGGTTTATCACTTTTGGTGAAACCCAAGAGCAGATAATAAAGGCGAGTCTGGGATTCGAACCCACGATCACAGGCAGCACATAGACGCCTTAGACCAATAGGCCCTGAACAATTAAAATAGTACACTAATAACAACTATATCCACCGTTTACACTGACGAAATCCGTACATAGAATACTGCATGCTATTTGGGAGAATTTATCTTCTTCGAACGTTTTATAAACAAAGGATAGCATTTATATTTTTAACTAAGAGTGCATATTATTGTTTACAGTGATCATGGATATTTGAGACGTAAATCAATTTCTTTCATCTAAAATAAATTTGCAGAAAAAAATGTTCTAGATTCGATTATTTGCAAGCCGTCCTGGTATAGATGGGATATTAACGAGTTCGTAAAAAGCATGTTCTTTCACACTAGATGAGAGGACAGTTTGTAATGTTTTTACGCATGTCCCGGGACGTCACGCATTGCCGGGCTTATGAAACGTATCCATGCGCTGACAAAGCCCGGAGTTCGTCACGTTCTATCAGAACTAATATATCTCTCTCTGTGTTATTGTGGGGGGTTGCGAGCTGCCAGAACACAAGGTGACGGCGTTGTGACGATATGGCGGGGAGCCTGGGACGATAGCTGTCATGTCGTAGTTATGTGCAGCTCAGTGTTAACTATCCAACCTCTACTGGTCGCTACTATATCGCGAGTTTGAATAGGCCTCAGGCAAACAGCGTTGGCGTCAGAGGCGGCTAGCTGACTTGGTTGATGCATGTCATCGTATCTCAACTGCTTAGGTAAATGCTCATGATATCAATCGCTGGACTGTCTGGTCAAGATCGATTAATTACAGACCGCCGTCACAAATAGATGGAATATTGCCACCGAGTGCGGCGTTAAACATCAACCAAAGCTAAGCACTCCATATATAGCACCCTTCGCAGTAAAGTTCTCTTGTCATAGAGTCCAATGCTGACTTGATTCGAGCTTCAGTAGCCATGTCATACTGCACATTACAGAATTCCGTGGACATGTTTATACGTAGTTCACCAACCATTCGTCTTTAAGTACACCAAATATTTCGGTTCAAAATGTATTTTCCCCAGCGGGTCAATCAAGTTTAATAGCTCGGCCGTTGTTTGTGTTTGTAGAACCCAGCAGTTGTCCGACAAGTCGACAACCTTGACGAAATACAGTTTCAAATCAGTCATTAAGTTATACTTCGTGACTTGTGAAGCGTTCGATGTGTAATCGCAATTATCGTAACGTACAGGTGAAGATCCGGGGTAGAATAGATCTTCAACAACCCATGCTTGCCGTAAATGGCGGGAATGCTTGTCGTAAAAGGCGACTAACGGGATCGGGTGATCAGGCTCGGTGACTTGGATGAATTGCGTAGATGGATGATAATAATGTCAGTCACTGGATTGTATGGTCCAGACTCGATTATTTACAGTCCGTCGTCATGTAGCTGGGATAATGCTAAGTGCGGCGTTAAACAGCAAACAAACAAAACACAAACTTGAATTTTATTGATCGTTGAAGGTTTGATAAATGTTCCCGCTGCAGCGGTTTTCAACTGGACAACATATACCCCGTTTTCATGGCAACAGACAAACTCCTTAAAGCAAACGGACTCGCCTAATGTATATTAACATTGCCTTTGAGTGTACGTGATGCACAGTTCTAAACACAGAAACATTTCAATCGGGAGCTCACCTGCCAATGCTCTGCAAATGCTCTGCAAATCCTGCAATGGAGCGAAATCTGCACGTTGAATTCCACGTTGTTTACAAACCGGATGTCGATTTCGTTACGCGATTTTGATTGGACTATGCATAAACTCGTTAGTCTAGCCAAAACTTAACTCCATAACTCCAGCCAAGTTATATGACTTTTATAGTCATATAACTCCTTGCCTCGGGAAGACGAACGGGACTGTACATGTATTGAAGCCTTTCAATGGAAGCCCGTGTAAATAACTACTACCGTGGGAGGAACATCGGCGAGGGGCGCCATCTCCTGACCTCTGCTGCAACACATTACATAGACAGATCAATGCATGGTGCTGTTCCGACTGATGTAATACTCTTCTTGGCAATATGCGACAAGACGTACTAACTGAACTACAGTCAATTCAGAATGCAGCAGCCCAAACAAGCAACAGAAGCAACACATACTCCTACATCTCACCAGGCTGGATTTGCCTCCACTGTATGCCGGTCTTAGCAAAGATGGAATACAAGATCCTGAGTATTACCTACCGAAGCGTTAAAGGTTCAGATCCATCCTACCTGTCCAGTTTGGTACAATGACATGTACCATCTACCATCATGTGCCTTAGATCACCAAGCAGCTCAACGCTCAACACAATAGCAACAAAGTTCATCCACAGACTGGGACATTGTAAACGTATGTAAGTGACAGACTGGGACACTGTAAACGTATGTAAGTGACAGACTGGGACATTGTAAACGTATGTAAGTGATGGACTGGGACATTGTAAACGTATGTAAGTGATGGACTGAGACATTGTAAACGTATGTAAGTGACGGACTGGCACATTGTAAACGTATGTAAGTGACAGACTGGGACATTGTAAACGTATGTAATTGATGGACTGGGACATTGTAAACGTATGTAAGTGATGGACTGAGACATTGTAAACGTATGTAATTGATGGACTGAGACATTGTAAACGTATGTAATTGATGGACTGGGACATTGTAAACGTATGTAAGTGATGGACTGGCACATTGTAAACGTATGTAAGTGATGGACTGGGACATTGTAAACGTATGTAATTGATGGACTGGGACATTGTAAACGTATGTAAGTGATGGACTGAGACATTGTAAACGTATGTAAGTGATGGACTGGGACATTGTAAACGTATGTAAGTGATGGACTGAGACATTGTAAACGTATGCAAGTGATGGACTGGCACATTGTAAACGTATGTAAGTGATGGACTGAGACATTGTAAACGTATGTAATTGATGGACTGGGACATTGTAAACGTATGTAAGTGATGGACTGAGACATTGTAAACGTATGTAATTGATGGACTGAGACATTGTAAACGTATGTAATTGATGGACTGGGACATTGTAAACGTATGTAAGTGATGGACTGGCACATTGTAAACGTATGTAAGTGATGGACTGGGACATTGTAAACGTATGTAAGTGATGGACTGAGACATTGTAAACGTATGTAAGTGCGGACTTGGACATTGTAAACGTATGTAAGTGATGGACTGAGACATTGTAAACGTATGTAAGTGACGGACTGAGACATTGTAAACGTATGTAAGTGTCGGACTGGCACATTGTAAACGTATGAAAGTGATGGACTGGGACATTGTAAACGTATGTAAGTGATGGACTGGGACATTGTAAACGTATGTAAGTGATGGACTGGCACATTGTAAACGTATGTAAGTGATGGACTGGGACATTGTAAACGTATGTAAGTGATGGACTGAGACATTGTAAACGTATGTAAGTGCGGACTTGGACATTGTAAACGTATGTAAGTGATGGACTGAGACATTGTAAACGTATGTAAGTGACGGACTGGGACATTGTAAACGTATGTAAGTGTCGGACTGGCACATTGTAAACGTATGAAAGTGATGGACTGGGACATTGTAAACGTATGTAAGTGATGGACTGGGACATTGTAAACGTATGTAATTGATGGACTGGGACATTGTAAACGTATGTAAATGATGGACTGGGACATTGTAAACGTATGTAAATGATGGACTGAGACATTGTAAACGTATGTTAGTGATGGACTGGGACATTGTAAACGTATGTTAGTGACGGACTGGCACATTGTAAACGTATGAAAGTGATGGACTGGGACATTGTAAACGTATGTAAATGATGGACTGGGACATTGTAAACGTATGTTAGTGATGGACTGGGACATTGTAAACGTATGTAAGTGATGGACTGGGACATTGTAAACGTATGTAAGTGATGGACTGAGACATTGTAAACGTATGTAAGTGATGGACTGGCACATTGTAAACGTATGTAAGTGATGGACTGAGACATTGTAAACGTATGTAATTGATGGACTGGGACATTGTAAACGTATGTAAGTGATGGACTGAGACATTGTAAACGTATGTAATTGATGGACTGAGACATTGTAAACGTATGTAATTGATGGACTGGGACATTGTAAACGTATGTAAGTGATGGACTGGCACATTGTAAACGTATGTAAGTGATGGACTGGGACATTGTAAACGTATGTAAGTGATGGACTGAGACATTGTAAACGTATGTAAGTGCGGACTTGGACATTGTAAACGTATGTAAGTGATGGACTGAGACATTGTAAACGTATGTAAGTGACGGACTGAGACATTGTAAACGTATGTAAGTGTCGGACTGGCACATTGTAAACGTATGAAAGTGATGGACTGGGACATTGTAAACGTATGTAAGTGATGGACTGGGACATTGTAAACGTATGTAAGTGATGGACTGGCACATTGTAAACGTATGTAAGTGATGGACTGGGACATTGTAAACGTATGTAAGTGATGGACTGAGACATTGTAAACGTATGTAAGTGCGGACTTGGACATTGTAAACGTATGTAAGTGATGGACTGAGACATTGTAAACGTATGTAAGTGATGGACTGAGACATTGTAAACGTATGTAAGTGACGGACTGAGACATTGTAAACGTATGTAAGTGTCGGACTGGCACATTGTAAACGTATGAAAGTGATGGACTGGGACATTGTAAACGTATGTAAGTGATGGACTGGGACATTGTAAACGTATGTAAGTGATGGACTGGCACATTGTAAACGTATGTAAGTGATGGACTGGGACATTGTAAACGTATGTAAGTGATGGACTGAGACATTGTAAACGTATGTAAGTGCGGACTTGGACATTGTAAACGTATGTAAGTGATGGACTGAGACATTGTAAACGTATGTAAGTGACGGACTGGGACATTGTAAACGTATGTAAGTGTCGGACTGGCACATTGTAAACGTATGAAAGTGATGGACTGGGACATTGTAAACGTATGTAAGTGATGGACTGGGACATTGTAAACGTATGTAATTGATGGACTGGGACATTGTAAACGTATGTAAATGATGGACTGGGACATTGTAAACGTATGTAAATGATGGACTGAGACATTGTAAACGTATGTTAGTGATGGACTGGGACATTGTAAACGTATGTTAGTGACGGACTGGCACATTGTAAACGTATGAAAGTGATGGACTGGGACATTGTAAACGTATGTAAATGATGGACTGGGACATTGTAAACGTATGTTAGTGATGGACTGGGACATTGTAAACGTATGTAAGTGATGGACTGGGACATTGTAAACGTATGTAAGTGATGGACTGAGACATTGTAAACGTATGTAAGTGATGGACTGGGACATTGTAAACGTATGTAAGTGATTGACTGGGACATTGTAAACATATGTAAGTGATGGAATGGCACATTGTAAACGTATGTAAGTGCGGACTGGGACATTGTAAACGTATGTAAGTGATTGACTGAGACATTGTAAACGTATGTAAGTGATGGACTGGGACATTGTAAACGTATGTAAGTGATGGACTGGGACATTGTAAACGTATGTAAGTGATGGTCTGAGACATTGTAAACGTATGTAAGTGACGGACTGAGACATTGTAAACGTATATAAGTAACGGACTGGGACATTGTAAGCGTATGTAAGTAACGGAATTATCTTGACCGTAGCCATACAATGCAATCACATTTCCGCCACATGCAACAATCAAGTATATATTTTATGTCCGCTTTATCTTTATATTTGTAAATATCAGCGTTCCCTGAGATAGTTTCTTTTTCTGGGGTCCCCATCAGGGGCGTATAAGGGTTAGTTTGGAGAGCGCCATTTTAGTTTCTCTAAACATTTTGGAGTGTTTAAAATAAAATGAGAGTGACTTAATCTGGACATGTTATAATCAATCGCCTGTCACATTCTGTGACTTAGTCATGTTTCGTAATGTAGATAATCAATGCAATTTTTTCATTTTGTTTTTAAAAGAGCTGAAAATGTTTAGGGGAAATATATCCTTTCGCTAAAGTTAAGCGGTCTATATTTTGTAAGAATAAACTATTGCGCATTGAGCAATGATCTCCTTTAGCAATAGGCGTAGTAAAGAGCTTTATCACGTGTGACCACGTGCTGTACATCGTATCTTATTCAAGCTGTATCACTGAGAGTGAGTGATTATCTTCCTTACCCGAATAGCGCTATTGCGCACTACCTTTGCAATCTATCGTATGTTCTTCAGGCAGCCAGCGAGAAAGGTTCCCGGGAGGAATTCAGGTCAAACATGTAAACGCATTCATTCTTTCTCCCTTCACACTGCTATTGCAACTTATTGATCAACACGATTAAATACCAGGCTTCTATAAAGCATGACTTTGTTCAATGAACAACACATGTAAAACAACGGGTTTGATATGAGAAATTTGTAATCAGTTACCTTCAAAATCACATGTATGGTGCTTGCTGTGCATAGTTAAGCTTGGTTGGTTGGTTGGTTTGTTGTTTACCGCCGCACTCAGCAATATTCCAGCAATATGACGGCGGTCTGTAAAAAATCGATTCTGGACCTGACAATCCAGTGATTAATATCATGAGCATCGATCCCGTTAGTCGCCTTTTACGACAAGCATAGTCGCCTTTTACGGCAAGCATGGGTTGCTGAAGACCTATTCTACCCCGGAATCTTCACGGGTCGCATGGTTTAGCACAGATTGAAGTAGTTCACTGTATGTAATGTTTGATTCATACCGTTTCATGCGGCAGTTTACTGTTCTGCATGTTTTTTTGTTTTGACAGTTTTTTTAAATTCCGGCAGGGATTGTACACCCGTATATGTTCTTTGCTTCTGGATACATAGGAAATCAACATTTTGGTCTGTAATTTGCAATTACTTTCCCAAAATATAATACGGTTGCATGATATATTCACGGCAATTAGTTGAATATTGTAACATTCTTCTAAACATACTTTAAATCTAAACCCGAGGCAATTACAACACAAACCCAGTTAACCAAACGGAACCACACACAAGAGTAATGAGTGAGTGAGTGAGTTGGGTTTAACGCCGCTTTGAATAGTATTCGACGTATATCACGGCGTGTCAGCTTGATGTTGGAGGAAAGCCTAAAGTGATGCAGGTCTTAGACGTTCACCACTTTGGTGAAACCCACGAGCACGAACTGGGCGAACCGGGATTCGAACACACTTTCATAAGTTTCTGGCCTGCCCAAGAGACACAACTCTGCATAGCGAATTGCAGCGCCTTAGTCGATTGGGCCAATCGTGCATTCGTACACAACTGTAACTAAATATCATACAACAGAGATGTTTTAGATGAGATATGTACTGCGTAACATACAGTGGCAGTATTACACTATCACAAACTACAAAATATATGCACAATAACTGAAAATCACACAGGTACTTTCAACATACAAAGGAGGTATTTTATAACAATTTTATTTTAAAACAAGTGTATTATAGTTATATGGAAACAATATGAGTATTGAGCAAAACTATGGTAAGGCACAAAAGGAATTTTTTTTTATTTGTAGATATGATAACAAATCTTGGAAATTGAGTCTGGATAACTGTTGTTAAAAAGTACAAAGACTTGTTCCTTTAACATATTGTACCAAATTCGTTTTCATGATTGGGGATCATTTGCGATTCTCTTTCTTGGTTGTATTTTATACAAAATTTTAAGACGTAACGTGTTTTAGAGAATGCTTGAACATATTGTGAATTTTTCTACTGAAGTTTATTTCCAGTGGATTCATTACATTCTTTCAATTTGTTTTGCTTTATTTAACCCAGCCAACATTCTGACCAGAAAGATTGATATTTGCCGCCGAAACATGTTTAAGAATGGCATTTGTTGTGCTATCTATATATATTTTTTATATTATTAGTACCAATAGTGGGTATGCTGCCATGCTGCTTGTTGTCATGCTGACTCATGATGTACTAAATAATGCTAAATGCAAGGGCTGTTTAATGATTCAAGGGGTGGTTCATGATTCAAGGGGTGGTTTATGACCAAAGTCACCGAGCCTGATCCCCCAATCCTGTTAGTCACCTATTACGACAAGCATAGTCGTCTTTTACCGCAACATGGGTTGCTGAAGGCTTTTCCTAACCCGGATCTTCATGGATGTAGTTTACGTGTAAGATAAGACAATTGCGATTGCACATCGAACGCTTCACAAGTCACGTAGTATAACTTAATGACTGATTTGAAACTATATTTAGTCAAGGTTGTCGACTTGTCGGACAATTGCTGAGTTCTACAAACAGAAACAGCGGCTGAGATATTAAACTCGATCTTGGAAAACTTGGAAAATACATTTTCAATCGAAATATTTGGTGTACTTGAAGATAAATGGTTGGTGAACTACTATAAACATGTCCATGAATCTCTGTAATGTGCAGTATGACATGGCTACTGAAGCTCGAGTAAAATCAGCATTGAACTCCATGATAAGAGAACTTTACTGCGAAGGGTGCTATGTAGTAGTTAGCCTTGTTTGTTGTTTAACGCCCCACTCGGTGGCAATATTCTAGCCATATGTGACGGCGGTATGTAAATACTCGATCTGGACCAGACAATCCAACGATTGATATCATTAGCATTTACCTAAGCAGTTGAGATACGATGACATGCATCAACCAAGTCAGCTCGCCGCCTCTGACGACAAGCGCTGTTTGGCTGAGGCCAATTCAAACTCGCGATATAGTAGCGACCAGTAGAGGTTGGATAGTTAACGCTGAGCAGCACATAACTACGACATGACAGCTATCGTCCCAGGCTCCCCACCATATCGTCACACCGCCGTCACCTTGTGTTCTGACAGCTCGTACCGGTCTACAACCACACACAGAGAGCTCTGTTATCTTTGTTCTGATAGAACGCGACGAACTCCGGACTTTGTCAGCGCATGGATAAGTTTCATAAGCCCGGCAATGCGTGACGTCCCGGGACATGCGTAAAAACGTTACAAACTGTCCTTTCATCTAGTGTGAAAGAACATGTTTTCCGAACTAGTTACAATCCCATTTATATCAGGACTGCCTCCAAATAATCGAATGTAGAAGATTTTTTTCTGCAAATTTATTTTAGATGAAAGAAATTGATTTACACATATCCGTGATCTCAGTTTACAATAATTTGCACTCGTATACTGACTCCGAGCCGACCAGTCCTTGTTTTAGCCTCTTGATGCCGAGCGCCAGACAGGGTAAGAACAAGTACCATCTATTAACGTCTTTTGGTATGACGCGACCGTGGATCGAACCCCGGACCTTCCGCTTTCCGGGCGGACGCTCTACCACAAGACCACGGAGGCGGTCGGGTCAATTGGGAGTGGATAAAAATGCTTCTGGGAGTAGAATAGACTTTGTTGTTTGCATTTGTCCAGTGCTATCGCGACGCTACCATTCGAACGAGTGTTAAAATTTAACGTCACATCAGCATTATTTCAGCCACTTAGCGACTCGATTCGAATAACCAAAAATAGTTCTCACAATGTAATGCTATTATATACTGTCTAATGCAAGTATTTTGTTATTAAACGGGTTACTTATTCACTAAGTTGTAATGTTTGCGTTAGATTGAACAATCACACATTCACTTTCGGGATCACTGCGAACCATGACGTAATTCGTTGCCTGATTACGTCATTCTTCAGTGACGTCATCTATTGTAGTTCGATATCATGTTTATTGTCTAAGAAAAGGAATATTGTTTCTCTAGACTGCATCTGAACTGATTAAAGAGGTCGATGTTTGATTATGTCCGGTGAGACATCAGCGTCACACAGGTGCATGTTATCGCAATGCTCCATTCATGAATTGCTCTCTATTTGGATGTCGGGGGTCATCGAAGATAAACAACAGCGTGCCTTGGTTCGCTTGTCCCTGAATGTACAGCGATGTTTAATGACACCATGAAGATACTATTTTAATATTCTGTTTATACGAAGGTGATCTATGAGCAAACGATTAACAGCAGACGCGAGTGAAATTATGATCAATAATGACACACGCACATTAACCAACAGGTCATTTCTTCTGTGAGGCACCTGATCACATCATCAATGGAGGAAAGAATATTACAGTTTTGTGGAGGATCCCATATACTTGTGAGTTTATCATTCCACCATGTATGCTTGTTGTTATCTATATACATATGTAAATCTTACCTATATGATGTAACTCTGAACTAAATACAGTAACTATGACCTCATTATGACCTAAACACCTGTAACTTGTACCTCCATATTTGTAACAATGACCTAAATACATGATGTTTGTTTGGTCTTTAAATTCAGAATGGCATGTTAGTAACGACCAGAACTGGGATAACACCAAAGATAATTATTATATTATATCTGTCGCATGAAACTAATGTATTTAAAGGGGAAACATTTATAAGAACAAAATCACCTTCTTTTCTTGTGTGTTGTTTTATGTTTTAAATACGTTTTGCAAAGTGCGTCAAAGGCAGTGATACTGACTCGATGTCCGCCATCGCAGCTAAATATAACAGCTTATAAAAGTGGGAACGCGGAACTAAACCGGAATACAATTTCTTCTGTTTTTATTCAAATCGCAAACGAGTAAGTGCAAATTCGTATAAAAAATTGTCATATTGCTTATTATTGTAGTTATTACCCATTGCCATGTTTAATTTCTAAGCACGATACCACTCCCAAATGTATTATTTGATTGTCTATCATATTATAACCTGAAATATGACTATCTACTTTTTGAGGTGGTGACATATTTAACTATACAGGAAAGTTCCTCTTAAATAGCTATCCTGGTCACTTCTGGACACAATATTTTTCATAAAAATAGCAAAAGCCAAATGGAAAAACAATATATTATGCTATTTTTCGAGAGTTATAAGAGGACAAATGTCTTCTGATACACATATATATAAGAGTATACACTCATGACATCTTACAATAGGCAATGATGTTCAAAATATATATGTGGGAGGGTAAATGCAGTAATATAATTATAATAACTATTTTGAATGTTCCTGAGTGTGTCATTAAACATCAAACAAAGAGTAAAAGTGGTACAATAAATTTGTATTATTCAAGGCATGTCTAAGCACCAAAACTTGACAGCCCTATAGCAATTGGTGTGTTTGTATTATTAAGCCCCTCAGTCATTTTTGTTAATGTTACTATCACTATCATGTTAGACTCTAGTGGTAACAATTATATAAAATCTTTCATAATGACAAAAGCAAAAACAATTATTTATTTTTGAGGTTGATGTAACAGATGCCACGCATAACAGATGAAAGATGTGAGAGAGTTTGTGCCTCATCTCAGAAGGCTAACTTTAAAAGGAAAACAATTACGTGTAGAAATGATTAGAAAGTCTTGAAAAAAATATTTCTTCAGTGTCCCTTTGAATCACCCTCCACCCTATTCTTTTTCTCGTGTTTTAAAGGAAAAAGTAGCATATGTAATACCCGGTATTACAAAATCTCCTTCCTCGTCAGCTTGACAATATCTGGGAAACTCATTGAACCATTCCTGGTAGCTTATGTTTTGTTGTTTTCAACATTTAGGAGATAAACCTACTGTGTTTTGAAATGTGATGTAGTCCCACTGTAGAAAACGGTCCCCTCCCATTAGTAAGACAGCCCAGTTGTGAGACACCTTAAAACAACAATGTCATACCTGGTTGCACATGTTAATCAGGTAATCAGGTATCATGAAAATGGACTTGGTTTATTATAGACAAAGATTGACTCAAGATGCTTGATACCCTCTTTTACTTTATTTCATTCAACATTTTAATTCATCCATCCCTTAAATCCATTGTTTTAACATATTCGCCACTTAGAGTTCAGTTAAAGTTAATATCACAGTTCACATCACAGTTCACATCGAGGTTGTCACACTGACACAACCTTAATCCATCTTCAGAAGTTTGCCAACAGCAACCAAGAACTGGAGTTGTGTCTTGACACCCTGGCATAGCTGATCCTTCAGTCTGGAAAGTCGATTGTCAACCTAGAAAACACAGTGTCGTAATAAAACCACCCACAGTCACACTGATGTGGCATTATTCATTCAGAATCATCAATTTCTGAGGTGAATCTGTTGGTTGTTCTGGGGAGGATTATTCATCATCCGGTGAGTCCCTTGTCTGACATGTCTGAGCAGGATCTGCTTAAATGTAGCTGGTGTCAGATTGTGAAATCCAGGTACCTGAAACAATTTATAACAACTTTAGAAACGTGTTAGTCAAAAATTAAGAAACACACACATATTTACAAAGGGTAAAAAGTTGTTTCATCGAAAAGTAAGGTATTGACAATTTATCTTGCAACCTATCTTTGAACATGTAAATAAGCCATTGCAAACAGAAAAAGTGTACAGAAGATACGAAAATGTATCCGGTCTTCCAAAACAATACCTGTAGAGCCACAAGGCTCACATGGATTTTGCTTAAATGATTGCATTACATCAAATTAAATATAAGGAAGGGTATACAAGACAATGCAAAACTAAGTAACATAGGTTCTTATACATAAAACAGAACTCTTCATAATAATCAAATCTTTCAATCACACAGGTCATGTAAGTGATCTCAAAATACCACATAATTAGCCAGTGAGTTGGTATAGTTTGATGCAGCTTGTTAGCAATATTCCAGCTATGGGCTTCATACATTGTGCCCATGTGGTGAATCGAACCCGGGGTTTCAGAGAACGCTTTACCACACCAAATACAAAAGAAATACATTAGGATTTCAGACAATAGTAATTCTCACCAAATTCATTCATTTATTATTGGAAGCTATATTGTAGGTGTGTGTGTGTGTGTGTGTGCGGGGGGGGGGGGGGGGTAGTAGTTTGCAATCAGATTTCTGATAGTTATTTTGCCGCTTTTTGACGATTTTTTCCTTTGTCATACTTTTAATTTCGTTTTTGGATATTGGTTGGTTGATGCTTACTTCTAATTTTAGTGCTGATTTGGCTGCTTTGTCTGCGTGTTCGTTGCCAAACACTCCAACGTTGCGGGGTCAAAACCATTTCTATGTCTTTACCTAGTTTACGTAGATTGTTGGCGCTTTTAATTATGTGTTGTATTAGTTTTGGGCGTTTTTTTGTGTTTTTGTTTTATATGGCCTGCAGCCCACTTAATGAGTCTGAAAGGATTAGGGTTTTTAGGTGATTATTTATTTGATCGCTGTGCAGGGCTGTTCCTATCCCCATTAATTCGGCTGTGGAAATTGATTGATTATTTGGGAGCCTATATGATTGTGTTTCTTTTGGGGGTTTGTTGATATGGATGCCGATTCGTGTGCGTTTTGAGCCCGGGTCAAAGGACCCGTCTGTGTAAATGTGACACCAATTTGGATCAGTTTCTTTATTTAATCTGGTGGAGAGAGATATGTCAAATTTGGGGGGTTGAAGTTTGGGTGTGAAGGTATTATTTGGGACTGTGTTTAACTGTAAATTATTTAGGTTGTGTGTATTTAGGTAATTTATTATGCGTTGAGAGATTGGTGTTAATTGAGGTTTTTTGCGAGCTAGAGCTTGGAGTCTGGGGCTTATGTTAGGTTTAAGGATCTGTTGGATTTGTTGGTTTTGTTGGATGGAGGCCCAGTAATTTATTGTTAGATGTTCTCGGCGTAGATCCAGGGGTATTTCGCCTGTTAGTGCCTGTAGCGATATGTGCGGCGTGCCATGCTGAGTGCGTGTGATTATCTTAAGTGCTTGATATTGAATTGAGTTTAGTTTATCGCTTAATGAGGAGTTAAAGGTGTTGTATATTTGGCATCCATAGTCTAATTTTGATCTAATTAGTGGTTTGTAAAGTGATAGTAGTGTCTCCTTGGAGGCCCCCCAGTTGGAACCTGTCAGACAGCGTAGTGTGTTTAGTTCTTTAGTGCATCTATTTGTTAGGTTTTTAATGTGAGCACCCAAAGTGAGGTGTTTATCAAAGATTAGTCCAAGGAATTTGGTTTCTTTTTGGAATTGTATGTTTTTTTTGTTTAGTTGTATTTTGGAGGTGTTTGCACGCATATTTCTGTGTTTGAATACTATCCCTGTGGTTTTTCGGCATTTATTGCGAAACCCCATTTATTTGCCCATATTTGAATTTTATTTAATGCATTCTGCAGTAATTTTTTAGCCATATTAATGCTTCTGGTGCGGACCCAGAGGGCTCCATCATCCGCGTATTTGGAAGTTTGAATTTTATTGGGTTTTCCCTCGAATAGGTCATTAATCATAATGTTGAAAAGTTTTGGGCTTAGAATGCTGCCTTAAGATGTGCCTTTTTCTAAGGGACACTGGTCCGATAGCGTTTGGTCGATACCCACGGTTATTTTGCGATTAGTTAGGAAGTCTTGGATATAGTTTATTATTTGGCCTTTAAGTCCTGCCTTTTTTAGTGTTTGTATTAGCCCGTTATGCCATACCATATTGAAAGCTTTAGAGAAGTCTAGACATACGCCTATTGTGTATTGTCGGTTTAGTTGGCCCGTTTTGATGTCTTGTTCTAATCGGGCGAGGTTGTCTAAGGTTGATCGGCCTGGGGTGAATCCACTTTGATCTTGGTTTATTATATTGTTTTGGTCTAGATAGTGTTGGAGTCTGTTTTTGACCATTGCCTCCATGATTTTACATAAGTTTGAGGTTAGGGAGATTGGTCTGTAGGAGTTTGGTTCGTTTGCTGGTTTGTTCGGCTTTGGTATTGGGATGACCAATGCCTCTTTCCATGAAGTAGGAACCTGACCGTTTTGGTAGATGAGATTGTATTGTTTAAGTAGTGATTCAAGAAGATTTTGGGGTAGCTGTTTAATTATTTGGTATGGGGTAAGGTCAGGTCCTGGGGCTGTTCCTTTTTTTCTATTATTTAGTACATGGAGTAGTTCCTCTAGTGTATATTGTTGGTTAATTTCTAGGTTATCATCTTTGGGTAATTTGAAGAATTTATTTTGATTTTTTAATTGTTTTTGGAATTCCTCAGTGTAGTTACTATCACTACTAATGGCTGAGAAGTGGTCTGCGGGGTTATTTACTTTTTGTCTAGGGTTTGTCGAGTTATTTATGTTTGGTGTTTTTTTGGTTCGTTTAATGCCTCGGATTGCGTGTATTTTGCGC